TCTCAGTCTTTGGCTGTTTGAAGCTTCTCCCCAGTAGTTTCCCCGAGTCAGGCTAAGACACCACAGCCATGCGTCCTTCCATGTCCCAAGCAAAGTTTCTGCATCGTGTCACCTGCTGATCTGTTTACTTGAGGAACCTAACTTCCTGGTGTGTTTTCACTGTTCTCTAGGAGAGGAATTCTCTCTTTTGTTACCATGCATGTACATTCCACTGCAATTCCTTTTTCTGTTGCTTCGGTGAGAGGGCTTTGCAGTACTAGGTTTTCACTGTGAGCTTTGGGGTCATCTCTGATGATGGCTGTTTCCTGGAGTCCCGGCTCCCCCCCCCCGCCCCACCATGTATTTCAGCCACACATAGAACTTTCTCAGACAGCTGGCGAGTTTTCTTTTTTTTCTTCTTCTTTTTTTTTTTTTTTAGTAAAGCAGGTTTAGGAGAGAATTTTTTTTTTTTAAGATTTATTTATTTATTTATTTATTTGAGAGAGAGAGAATGAGAGAGAGCACATGAGAGGGGGGAGGGTCAGAGGGAGAAGCAGACTCCCTGCCGAGCAGGGAGCCTGATGCGGGACTCGATCCAGGGACTCCAGGATCATGACCTGAGCCGAAGGCAGTCGCTTAACCAACTGAGCCACCCAGGCGCCCAAGCGAGTTTTCTTCTTTACACACATTTATCTAAGGAATCCAACTAGTGGCTTTAAATATTCTTCGGCTTTATGACTGACTTTAACAATTCCACTAACTCTGCAGAGCAAGGATTTTTATATTTGTGAAATAAGTCGATAAGGAAAACTCTAGGATATGATTAGAAAATTAGGCAAAAGCCTCAAAGAGACTATTGCCCCAAAGCCAAAAAGATGAAAAGTTTAAATAGGTAAGGAAAACTGTTTAAACTAATTAGTAATTTTGAAATTCAAATTGAACATCTTTGGCTTATCAAGTTAGCAGAGAATTTAAAATGTGAATGCAAAGAGCCAATGGTAAGACAGGCATTCTCAAGCATCGATCTGGGTAGATAAATTGTTACAACCTTTTTGAAAAACATGCAGTTAGATGATATGAAGCAAATATTATTTGATCCAGCAACTAGATTTTGGGAGATAGAAACTAAGAACATAATCTGTTACATTAAAATAAAGTTTCTGCTCAAGATGTTGATCACAGCATTATTTGCAATAATTAAATGTTAGGAACACAGTTGAAATATGGTTATCAAGGTGATATTCACCAAGAATGAATGAGAAAATGTTTACAAGATAATGATAAGTGAAAGCATAAGAAATAAAATGGTATGTGTATACACAAATAGGTTTATTAAGCAAAAGAAATATTACACAGATAAAAACATGATTTTTTCTGTTCATCTTGGGGTAAATTTTTCTTCCTTCCACATTTGTATATTTTCCAAATATTCTATAATGACAGCATGTAGTATTAGCTTCTTAAATAAAAAAAGGTTTTCAAAATTTCTTCCACGGTTTTCAATGCCATGCTCTGTCCCAGTTTTTTTTCTAACTAAGAGAGTAGAGATCAAGGTTCTGGTTCCCCTTTTCTCCAGGTTAGTCGAGTGTGAGTACACGCGGTTGATGTGGAAAATCCCCTTGGCTGGAGCAGGTCTTCACTGGTCTGGGCACATCCGGGATGATTCCTCTCCAGACAGATTCTTCAACTGCCTGTTCTGGGAGTGGATTATCCCCGCTGCAAAGCTCACCTCCTCTTCCTGGCCCAGTGAGCTTTTGGGGAGAGAGGAGCAGAACCAGCAGCCCTCGGGCTAGAAGGATCTGGGAATCTTGGAGGAAGGAAGAGCTCAGGTGGTTAGGGCACTGAAGTGGATTGGGATCAAGGAGACCAAGGAGGCAGGAGGTCTAAGATCTCATGTGACCTCTTAGGTCCTGGCAGGAGTTTGGATTCTATCCCAAAAGCAATTAGCAACCTCTGAAGGGCATTAGCCAGCAAGTCACATGATCTGGGGTCAATGTGCAACAGCTCATTCCCTGCCGAGATGGCCCTACAGAGAGTCCAGAGTTGACGTCCCAGAGATCAACAGGATTATGTCACATCCCTTTCAGAGTTGGGACTTAGAGAATGAGGAAATGCTGACAGAATTTGAAGGTAGGGAAAGCTGTGGTCCCACACGTGCTTAGACCTAGATGGAGCTGACCTCCCAGACAAGCCAGGAAGAAAGGCCCGGGGGACCCAGTGTGGGGAGATGCTGGGAACCCAGGGGACCCACAACCCCTACAGACCACTGGGCCACCGCCAGTGGAATGCTGGTAAAAGAGCTGAGTAAGAAGCCATTGGGATCTTGCTCAGAGAACCAGATACACCTGGTTTGGGGGCCCTAGGGGAGAGAGTCCAGCTTTAGGGCTGGCCACCTGTTCTGTCCCCCACCCCCACTTTAAGGGCCTCATCTGCCCAGGAGACTGGAAGGCTGGCCTGAAGAGGGGTAACTAAGAGATCTGGAGTGGAAGGGAAGTTGGGAAGCAAGGGGCTCCGGTGATGACTGGCACGACGACCCCTTCCTGCAGCCTCGTGGAGGGGGGTGGTAATCCGTGGACTTGGAACATCTGACAAGTGTGGTTCCCAGGGTGCCGGGGTGGGACTTAACCCAGATTGACCACACTTGTCGGGGCGTAGCCTGCCCAGGAGGGGCACCTGGACATCCCTGCTCCTCGCCTTCCTCCAGCCACCTTCTCTACTGGACGAGGTGTCAGTGATTACAGAATATAATATTTACTGGAACACAGATGACCAAACAATATACATGTTTCAAAGGTGATAAATATTTTTAAACATATGTTCCATTTATTGGAAATACACTCTCTAATCAGGTGGATAGGCACAGAGTTTAAGGGGATTGTTGAATGGTCCCTTATTGGGTGCCTGGTGCAATTCCCCAAGTAAATTTCAGGCAAGTGAAAGTGTCAAGGGGACGGCACAGGGCCAGGGAGAAGGGTCCCAGGGTCAGGGGCCCTAGACACACTTTCTTGGCCTGATTGATTTGGATATAAGTGTGAGGACTCTGAGGATCTAGAAATTGATTCCCTGAAAACTCCTCAGGCCAAAGCCTTTTCCTGCCCATCTTGGTGACTGTTGGTTTAACATAGTCCCCATTCTACACTCTATTCGAGACTCTGATGGTGTTGGAATGGAGCTTGGGGTCCAGATGTCAACCCTGCAAATGGGGCATGGGATTCTTCTCACAGGACTGAGGTCTGTGTTTTCAACGAAGTCTTAGGTCCTGGGCCAAGCTTGGAATCCCATGGAAAGCCCCACTGATAAAGTAGGATATCCAACAGTTTAAAGAGGGCCGTCCCCCAGGCCAAGATCCCCCCCCTTCAGCCACAACCCCTAAGTCTTTCTGCAACTCCCGCTCTCTCTAGAGAACCAACTCTATGTACTGCAGAGTGTTTGTAAGATTATTGGACAGGAAGTCTAGCACCTCCCAGTTCTAATTAGGCTGCCCCAGCAAGGTCACAGAGCCGTCCCTGATAACAAGCAGTAATTAGAGTGACAAAAGTAGCATTTTACGAGGTTGTTCTGAGATGCACTTTCTGCAGTGGTGTAAAGGGGGAGAAAATGGAAACTAATCCCCTAAAGAAGGTTAATAGCATCCACAAATTTAAATTACCTACATCAGCCTTGTCACAGACAATTAGGAATTGGAGGTCCTTTGCATTCACATTTCATCTCTAGGAGCTTTTCCATATTCCTGAAGGTGCTCTATCTCTGAGTTACCACTCAGGAGCAGAAACATTCAAACTTCAGTTGTCAATTTATTTTAAAGCAATGATGAACCCATTTCATATTAACATAAAAACATATTTTTTTATGAAATACATCTACTTTTTTAAATTACTGAGATGAACAGCAGTATTTTCGGTTTTTGCAAAAATCTGTAATACCTGACATAGTAAGACAGCTGGTTTCTCACATCTGCTTCTGCATTCAGGAAACTCCACCTTCCTGAGAAAACAAGGGCAAAAAGGACAAAGAAAGTCTGGTGTTATTACAAACATGGTTTTGACCTCATGGACCCCTTGCAAGGATCTCAGACGTCCTCAGGGGTCCCCAGTCCGTGCTGTGAAAAAGGCAGCTCCTGACCAAGGAAAGCCAAGCTCCATGGGTTTTAGAGTAAGCTGGGGCGGGGGTGTGTGTGTGGGGGGGTGTTGTGCAGGATGGGCATCAGCATGTTCTGGCTCCTTTCAGTTCACACCACGTTTGTCCACAGGAGCTCCCTCACCCCCCCCCCCCCCCCCCCGCCCCACCACCACCAGTTAGGTGACTCTAGAAAGGAATCCTGTGGTTATTTTAGAAGCCATCCATTTTGTATTGCACAAGCTTTTTTAATTAGAGATTTTTTTTTTTCTAATGGGAAAACGCTGTAAACCTAAATGCATAGCAATAGTAGTGATTAAGGAAATTATGGTTTCTGAAGGCAAATACTCTGCAGCCATCAAAAAGAAAGTAAAAGGGGAAGATGTACTCAATATTAATATCCACAGAATTAATAAAGCAGAGAACAGGAAGTATAGAACAATGTGCATATTATGATCTTTTTACTGTGCTTTTGAAGGGGACTAACAACACGTATAACTGGGAAAAGACACAAGAAATTGCTCATAATGATTGGTCGTCTTTGAGAAGATATGGGAAGTTTTAAAAATTTTTAAACCTGCCAGCAATGAGTAACATATTGTGCGCAGTTGTGTCTGTCCTTAAAGAAAAGGAGGCAAGAGAGGTTTCCTGGCAGTAAGACCATGTTCCATTTCCGCCTTTCTCACTCTCCCCGGGGAGAACCCTAGTCCTCCGCAGGTGCACCGCGCGCCCGCCGGTCCGCACTCCCGGCCCCGCGGAGCCCGCGCCTCCCCCCTGGCCCCGCCCCGCCCCGCCCTCGCCCATGCCCATTGGTCTGCCGTCGCGCCGCCGCGTCCAATCGCAGCGCTTAGCGCCAAATTCGAATCGCTGTTTTCTTTTGAATCGGGAGGGCGCGGCGGCGGCTTTACGCGCGGAGCCGCTAACGCCGGGCGCCTCCCGGACGCAGCGGGGCTGGGCTACCTGGTCGCCGGCGAAGGCGACGGCGGGGGCAGTGAGGACCGCGGCGGAGCTGGCCGCGGGCAGTCCCCGGCCCCGGAGCAAGGGGCGGGCGGTGGACGCAAGTGGGCGAGTCTCTGGCTTTTCCAGGCGAGGACTTGGGCTGCATCTGGCAGAGCGGTGGACCCACTGGTGGCGGTGCGGGCAACTGGACCTGGGTGAGCCACCGTCGGGGGACCTCGGGGGCCGGGGGCGGCCGGTGTGCCTGGGGGCCCGGGCCTTGGGGACCCCTCTGCTCCGCTGCAACCAGCGCCTGCAGCGCGACCGGGGCTCTGGCGAGGGGGTCTCGGTGGGAACCCCCAGGAGCCTAGACCTTGATGGGCCGCGTCCTGGCCGCGGGTCTTTGAGGGCACTGGGTATTGGGGGGCGCCCTGGGGTGCAGGCCGGGACCTGGCTGGGGCTCCCCAGGGGTCAAGTAAGGTGTCGGTCAAGGTGGCAGGAGCATGACGGATTGTACGTGTGAGCCCATTTGGTCACTTACAAGTGACTTCCAATCTCTTTGCTTTTAGGATAACCCCCCCCCCCACCTCGTGTGTTTTGTTTTTGTTTTATTCAGTGGCATGTTCCTGCAGTAAGTTTGCTTCAGCAAACCTTCTGATGCCTGACCTTCCTGTAAGGATTACACTCAACATCTTGCTTAGAAAATGGGTCCTACAGGACGCCTTGTTACCATCAAAAGAAGTGGGGTGGACGGCCCCCACTTTCCGCTGAGCCTCAGCACCTGCTTGTTTGGAAGGTGAGCCCTGCACAGGGGTGGACAATTTAGTTTAAAAGACATTAATATCCTAATCATAGATGAACAGACTGGAAATGCCCTAGGAGTGGTTCCTGCCCCCACATTTGCAGGGGACTTTCCTACCTATTGTCAATGTAACATAGTTGTTTATTAGGAAATCGATTTTTGAAAACAATGTTTACACAGTTAAGTATCGTTTTTAATCAAACACATTTTAAAATTGACTTGATAAAACCTTTCAATTGAGAAAAATGTAGATTATTCTCAAAACCTGATTCACTTCAGGCATTCTTTAGATGACCAGTATGTTCATCTGAAATCCCTCCGAACTTGGCTTGCCTTGGCTGTGGGGGGGGACACTACTGAGCAAATGAGGGGAGGAGGCTCTGTATTTGGCTTGTTGGTTTTTTGGAAAAATGAAAATAGGAGAAGTCCTGCTAGTGTTTTGAGAACTTCTTTCTTTTTGCCGGCTTGTGTTGGTGGTAAATAACTATGGTCCCAGTATAACAGGCGCACTGCTCCGCGTTTGTAACATGGGATTTCTTATAAAGTGTAAGTCACCCTCTCTGTGGAACCCTGTGAGGTGGGACCCCCGACCACCTTCTACCCATACCCCACCCTGTCCTACCCACCCCATCCTTACCATGTTCTACCGCACCTCAGACGTTCCGAGCTCTTGCTCATCTTGATGCTTTTGGCCAGTTTAAACTTTTATGACTGGAATGTTCTATCTTCCTATGTGAGTGCCTCCTTTCCAACTTTCAGATATCCGTTTAAGTGTTACCTAAAGAGAACCCTTAGGTGAACACTGCTCCGGTCTTTCCTAACACCATGCAGGGTGATGAGTCCCTGGTTGTGTCTCCCACTACTAAACTGTAAGGACAGGGACTGTCTGGTTCATAATGATGTACGCAGTGCCTGGTAGGGGTCTGGCGAGAGAGAGGTGATCAATAGCTGGCACTCTGTGTCTAGCAGATGCATGCGCTGAACGTAGAGTCATAAATAGCAGTGGTTCTCAGCCGTGGGTTCTTTTGCCCTGCAGGAGACATCTGGCAAGGTCTGGAGACATTTTTCTATGTCACAGTGTGGGAGGCTTAAACCAGCGGCATCAATGGAAGAGGTCAGGGATGCTGCTAAGGAGCCTACAACGTAAAGAACAGCCCCTACTGTAAAGAATGTCAGTGGTGCTGAGGTTAAGAACCACTGATCCATAGGGATTCTAGTTAGCAATTTTCAGCCACACAAATTCTCAGATCTAATGAGATAATCTCTTTCTCTCTCTCTCTCTCTCTCTCTCTCTCTCTCGCTGTAATAGTCTGTTATCTAAAAATCAAATATTCTTCTTTAGTTTAAAGTGGCTGTTCACTTCCCATACCTTCTTTTCTCTTCAAAGGAAAAAGAATAAACATTCTGGTGTTAAATGTCAGTAATTCTCGTTATTCTACAGCAGTGATTAAATATCTTTTTATGTGGGGTTTTATCATTTATAACCCATTCAAAAGTGTTTGGTCATATGACATATGTAGGAAGAGATACTCTTTTTTTTTTTAATGGTTTTATTTGGGAAAAGTACTTACAAAAGGGCAGCTGCAGAATACAGAGACCTCTGCAACAATTACTTGTTTTTTCTTAAAGTGAAAGAATGGGTGGAATCCCAGGAGTCAGAGGGGTCCCTGGACAAATGAGCAGCATCTCCAAGTTATCTTAGGAACTAGAGCAACAAAACTCAAAGCTAAAATTTCCAGTCGCAAAATTCTTCTAACAACTACACTTCAGCTCGTCTCGTGGATTACCACCCTCATCCCCCTTTAGAGAAAAAGCATGACTTACTCCTGCCAACCAATGACCCCACTACCAGAAACACCTTAGAACCTAAGTTCTGCATCACGTCTGGCTGCCTGCAAAGCTCACGGATGGAATGAGCCAAACACCCACAAAAACAAACACAGAAACCCGACAACGCAACCTCAAACAAGGAGCAAGTTTTGTCCAAAAGTGCTTGGGCTGGAAAGGCTAGGAGACCATGAAACATAAAATACAGCTGTGTATCTGAGCCCCGGTTAGTGTTAATATACGGGACAAGCAGATACTTTAAACCTCTGTGGCTGAGCCCATTTCTCTCTATATGGACAGACAGCTAGCACTGCTCTCTCCACAGCTACTGATGTGCTGCTTTGTCCTTTACAACCTATTTGCCACACTAAGCCGAAACCACTAAACCACATCTTTCCACGAAGGCCAAGGACACCGTACAACTATGCAGGGACAAGAAACTGAGCGCACACTGACACTCACAATCCAAGTCTATCAGCCATTGGGAGTCCACTTCCAGCTCTGCAATTATTTTATACCACTGTATCTTTTATATGCGTTCTAGAAAGAGATAGTCCCAGCTCCGGAATAGTGTATTGAGAACAGAAAGGAGAGTATATAACTGTTCAAACTTACAGTAAAGGGAACCCCAGAGACCCAAGGAAACTTACTAAGGACCATTTGGATTAGTGTGCACGTGGGTTTGGAAATGCTCCCTAATGGTGCTTCCTTCTGATGTTCTTTGTGTGGAAAGTGAAGTTGAATCTAATAATGCTTATTTGTTGCTCGCATTTGTATTTTTAATAATAGACTTGTGAACCCGTCCATTAATACAGTGTAGTTTTAAAACAATGAAAAGCTCATGAGTAAATAGCATCGATCATGTGCCAGGCAAATGGCAGAAATGTATAATTCATTCATTGTTTGAACAACCCCGTGATGTAGGTGCTGATGTGATTGTCTTTTTATATGTGAAGAGACAGGTGTTAGTATAAAATATAGTACATGTAGTGATGATGAAACCTTGAAACATACATAACATTGCAAACAAACACACATAAACCTTTCTTTCTAGAAAAAAGGCAGAGTATCAGAAATCGTTACAGTTCTCCAAACTGATAGGAAGTACTCCCTTATTTGGGTCTTAAAAGCATGGGTATTTCAGTAAAGGCAATCCAGTTTTGTATTCTAATATTTTCCTTATAATTGTTTTCAAGTACCCAAAGTCTTAAAGATTTAAAATAGTTGCTTATACAATACTTGTCAAAATTGTTTGCCGAATGCACAGGTCATCACATCGCCCAACTGATGATCACTTTCTGTCGTTTCATTTATGGATCAAACATTTGGTCAACTGCTATTTTATTTTGAAGCATTCATGGAACTTCTAGAAAAAATTGTGGCAGCCTAAAACTCTTCATTTCTTTCATCGAAGGGGTGTCGAATGTGACATTCGGATCCAGCTCCCTGTCGTGTCAAAACAGCATTGCAAAATTGAGATCAGTGGGCAGGAGGTAAGTGGGTGTTTGAAATCTGTTGTGTTTTGTTTTGTTTTTTAACTGTTCATTTCACTTTTTACCCATTCATCAATTACCTATTTTCCCCTTTCTCCTACTTTGTAGGCAATGTTGTTTAATTTCAGTTCCACCAATCCGACACAAGTGAACGGATCCGTCATCGCGGACCCTGTACGGCTAAAGCACGGAGATGTGATCACTATTGTCGATCGTTCTTTCAGGTGGGTGAAAAGTAAAAACTAGTCATTCTCGACACTGATGCACCAAAACCAGCCTGGCAGACGTCTGTGACTTTTCTGTGCTGCGGATGACGTCAGAGCACTTGAGGTGGCCACTCTCACCCCTGGTTCTCAATCTGAGGTCACGAGGGTTTAGGTGGGATGACACATGGGGCTTGTGTGACTACATTCAAGGATCCGAGCGCCTGGAGCTGGGCCAAAGAAGGGTGACCGGAGCCTCACGGGGTCTTATTTTTGTTGTGAGTGTGGTGAAGCCGCATGCATTTTTAGTTTCTGTTTCATTTTAAAAAGACGCTCCTGGGGAATAGACACAAGACAAGATGTCCAGCTCAGCTTATCTTGACGTGAGCACCCGGGTGATCGGCATTTGTTATGGACTGAATTGTGTCCCTTCTAAAATTCATATAGTGAAGTTTTAACCCCCGGAAAGCCAGAATATGACTGTATTTGGAGACAGGGTCTTTAAAAAGGTGATTGAGTTAAAACGGGGCCATTAGGGTGGGTCCTAATCAATCTGACTGGTGTCCTTGTAAGAAGAGGACATGAGGACACAGAAGAAGGGAAGCAGGTGCTCAGAGGGATGGCCACGTGAAGGCAGCAGGGGCGGCCCTGGCCAGCCCAGAACAGAGGCCTCAGGAGAAAACAGTCCTGCCAACATCTTGATCTCGGACTTCCAGCCTCCACAACTGTGAGGAAGTACACTTCTGTGTGGAAGTCACCTGCGCATGGCATTTTGGATGGCAGCCCTAGCAAACTAATACACCACCCGAGCTGTAAACAGAATATTTCCAGAACCTTCTGAATAGTTCTTCTAATCACTGCTTCTTTCCCTCACCAAGTAAACTACCCGAGTGGCTTTTCTGATGACATAAAGTCTTTGGAGTTTTGCTACCTAAGCATGCATCTCTCACTGCTCTGATTTTGTCTGTCTTTATTAATAAACTCCATAAATTTGCAACAATGAAGTATGTGCTTGTAGCTGAGCCCTGCTCCCATGCTTGTGAGAGCCAGAGCATGGACGTCCCAGTTTGTTCTTTCTCACTGCCTAAATATGTCATTGAAATAATATCCCAGTTATATACCCAATTATACACAATTTATTCATTCTGGACCGACGTTTGGGAAATTTCCAGGTTTTGAAGTGAGCCGAGGGCTTGCTTTATGACCAGATGTGGTTGATTTTTTACTAATCTCTCCTCTGTGTTCCAAAAACATGTGTGTTCTACAGCTCCCGGCGTTGGGGTGGAGCGGGGTGGGGAGCGTTCTGTCCACGACCATCCGTTAGATTCAAATCCCTGGCTCTAGAATCACAGTAACTTAGCCCTTGATTCTTACTCAGGTGCGTAGGCTGAAATCACACTGAGGATTCTTTTTTCCTTTCTGTGTGTTTAGCTCTTCTGTTTCTGCTGTCGATCTGTTGAGGCCATACTATGTGTTGAAATTTAGAATTCTGTCCTGGTGGGTGAAGCTCTGTTGCTTCTCTTTCTGAGATTCTCTGTACCTTTCGTGATGCTTTTTTTTTTTTAATCAGTGATTGCATACTATCATATTTTCTGGCACATTGCTTTCAACTTTTCATAATCCTTAAGACTCAGATTGTCTCTTGGAACCAGCTGTTAGGTGCACTTTTCTTTACAATCGGTTTATCTTCTGGATAGTTCAATCCTTTTATCATTATAAAATATGCTTGGTCTTCGTGTGCAATTTTTATCTTGAAATCTCTCTTGTCTGATGTTAGCGTACTCCCCCTCCAGCTCTCTTCTGGTTGCTGTTGGCTTGTCGTGTCCTCTCCCATCCTGCCACGTTCATCCTGTAGGCACCTTTGATTGTGCCTCGTGTCTCTTTTAGGCAGCTCACAGTAGGGTCACGTTGGTCATCCATGTTGTCCGATAAAACACCAACCTCGTTACTGCCTCCATTCGCATTAAACACATATTTCCTATGGGTGCAACTGGTCATCTTTTTCACTGGGCTTGTGAATTTGCCTTCCTTTTTAAAGGGTATGCTTATTTATTTATTATTTTTTTTTAAAGATTTTATTTATTTGAGGGAGAGAATGATATAGAGAGGGCATGAGAGGGGGGAGGGTCAGAGGGAGAAGCAGACTCCCTGCTGAGCAGGGAGTCCGATGCGGGACTCGATCCCGGGACTCCAGGATCATGACCTGAGCTGAAGGCAGTCGCTTAACCAACTGAGCCACCCAGGCGCCCTAAAGGGTATGCTTATTGAATAGACTTCTAGATAGGAAGCATTTGATGTGGAGTGGAGACCAGAACTTCTTCCCCCAAATGAGATGCTATTCAGATTGAGATTAATTGAGATAATTAAATACCTCCAACACAAGAATGGGGAAAGCATTCTTAGGAAGAAGAACTTGACCGTGAACTCTGTGATCGGGAGAAATAAGTCCAGACACCCGGCTGTTTCGGATCAGGCCACCTCACGGAGACCAAGTTCAGGATGCCCATAGCAGGTGGTTCTGTGAATTATGCCCAGGGTCTGGTAGAAGGACAGTGTTGTGTTGTTAAATCTGTCTACATCTTCAAGAATGTGCCAGTCTTTGTTCGGATACAGATGGGGAAGGCAGGACACAGGAGGTCACAGTGATCCTAAGTTACAGGTGGCTCTGGTGACCTTGGAGTAGGTAACATCACCAAGTGACTCAGGCCTCGGCTTCCTGGGTGAACTTTCAAGCTCTCAGATGATCTCCACGGATATAAACCGGTGCGAATCTGATCGGCTCTCATAGGCAGGTTTTCACAGAGGTACTCAGATATTGTTGAAATCACACAGCTTATCAGCGTTCAGAAACTAATCTGGGTCCCCACCTCTGACAACAGTGTTGCCAAAGAAATTTGAGGCAACCTATCCAAGTTTTTAGTGTAAAATCTTTTCTAACTCTACCTTTATTTCCATGAATAAGGTGAATCTCTTGAATAAAACTTGACGTTTGTTCCTTGCTCCTTGGACATTAATGAGATAAGGAGGCTTTCCCATCAGTTACAGAGCTGGACTCTGAATGTGTGTCTGTCCTTCTGTGCACTTCAGGTATGAAAATGAAAGTCATCAGAATAGAAGCGAGTCAACGGAATTCACAGGACAAAAGCACAAACAGGTGATGGGGGGGTGGATTATCCAACTGTGGACTCTGATTCTTCTGCACGATACTATGAAATCATTTATATGCACGTCAATGAATGATGTCTCACAAGGGAGGGTGACTTGACAGTAAGAGAGGGACAGGTACCTGAGATCTTAAACAAGTTGAACTTGGACATACTGAAATAATTTACAACTATGCTTTTTTTTTTTTTCTCACAATGAAAGGACTAAGTCAGTCTTACACTTTGGCCCAAAGGCTTCTGGAGTATCTCACAATCTGATCTTCTTCTAAACCTTTGGTTAGGACAGCGCATCACATAGATTTAAAATCTGGGAACTAGACGAGTGGCTTGTGTTGTCTCCCAGTTATTGTGTTCCTCCATCTTTATGCATCTGAAATGGTCACATCAGAGCTGTGAGTCCCAGAGATGCTTCCTGACTTTGATGGAGAGATAACCCATGCCCCTGGGAGAGCGTTACTGCACTGTGTCTTGTGAGAGAATCTTACTACTTGTGTCCATCCAAACAGTATGGCTTTATCGGAATGCAATTCTGGGCCCATCCTCAGAGATTCAGGAGGATGTGTCTCCTTTAGGAAGCTACCCAAGCTGGTCTCCTGTGACTAGGTTGCAATTCACTGGTTTAAAAAGTCATATTGTACCTACACCCGAAATTAGCTGGAAGCCCTTCAGCTGAAGATCTCTGCTCCTGCTATGTGTTGCTTCCTCTTTAGAGGAATGACCTTAATGGTGACCTTGCCCCTCATTGGCTTTGGGGGAAAGCTAGATTTTGAGGTTCTCTACCCACTTTGTTGGCAGGTATTAGGGAACCAAACAAAAGGCTGGACTTCGGGTTAGCAGTGGTTAGAAGACCTAGAAACTGTTTGTTGTCTGGATTGTGATAAAGTCAGTATTGAAACTGAATACTGAGAACGTGTTATAGCACTTTGACAGTGATTTTTATGCCTATGGAATATAACGGTACAAAAAATGGGCTTATATGCTTCCTTATATTTTGCACATAGTTTTAAATTTTAATTCATTTTTATTGCTTAGTCATAAGATCCTTGGCCAACTTCAAGTTTTGGAAATTAGAAACTGATCCCTCACTTGGCGAGTTAGAGAAGCAACGTGTCCGATACCAAGAAATCTGAAACTGATTGAAGAGAGAAGTTAAATTATTTGCCTTTGGATACATTTTGTGATTTTTTCCCCCATAATAATTCAGATGAGATACTTTTCCTCCTTTGAAGCAACATTGGACTTTTAGACCTTACATCATTGTTATTCTGGGGTTGTTCCTCGCCCCCCAGAAAATCTTCTGACAGATTGTGAAGGCAGCAGTCGGGGGCCAGGTAGGAGGACTGGATCTGATTGCTGCTCTCGGAGGGCACGACGCCTGTGATGTGCTGGTTTCACTTTCACCTGAACATCCGGGCTTGGGTGCACCTGCCGACCCGAGCACCCGGGCTGAGTGGGGCCCCAGCTCATCCACAGGTCCTGCAGCCTCTTTCTGATAAAACTTAAGTATTAAGTCAATAATTCTGTGCCCTTGGTAGGTTCACAGATGCTGAGCATAGGTGATGTTTAATTTTAGCTTTGGTTCTTTCCTATGGTGATGAGAAAGAGGTTTGAGGAAGTTAGAAAAACTCAACTGAGGTTCCATTTAAACAGTTTTGAGCTTCAGGTTTGTTTCTTATTCTATCATTATATTTTTTAAAATCAGCTAAGAAATACTTGTATTATGAGCACTTGCCCCTGAGTGTCTTTGGATCATTTCTCAAAGTCTCTAAAATTCCTATAAGAACAGTTTGGTAAGGAAGAGCATCCATAGCAAGAATATTTTCATAAATATGACTGTTGGTATTTGAACAAGCACCTAAATAGCTGTCTTTATTTTGCCGATTTACAGGAATCTCTGCATAGGGTCTCAAGATCTGGCTTCTCTTCCGACTCTGGTTAGTAATTTTTTGGTTTTATTCTGGGATCCTGCAAGATCAGCTCTCTGTGTAGCATTAGGGCAAGGAAGAGACAACAAGAACACCAGCGTTCTACATCTAAGTTCACAAAGGTTAGGAGGTTGTGTTACTTAACACGAGAGATAGGCAGACCCCCGAGTTAACATTTCCTCAAGAGAGGTGTGGGGCACCATGCTTACTGGAGCGTCCAAGTATAAATAAACTGAACATGGTTGTCAGTTTAATTGAGTAGACTAATAGCAGGTGATCCCTCATATTGGTTATAGGAGGCTGCTGTGATTTATTTGTTTGCATCATAATTCAAGTATCAGAATACTTTTATTACACATTTTGGCATTAAGTAATTTGTAGGCTAAGTGAAAAACTAGATTACAAGACAACTAGAAATGGTTGTAAAATTTGAATACTGCACGGTGTTAATCACTGAGAAAATCTTGAACTTTCTGTTTCTTATTTCATAACTCATTGCCAAGATGGGAAAGTTCAAGATTCCAATGCCCTTTCAAAGCTCTGTGAAGAAAATATCTCAGGAAGTCCTCTGGGACACGTGAGAAATGGCAAAGCAGCTGGCACAGTCTCGGATGGCCCCAAAGATCACGCCGCTAGAAAAACAATTAATGCTGTTCCTTCCTCAGAACTTCCTAGAGAGAACTACAGAAATGCAATGGATCCTACAGCCGGGGATTTTAAGGAAGATTCCAGCATACCCTTAGTGAGTTGTCATGGAGAACTGAAGTCTTTCCCCTCTACATGGCATCCTGAGAACAGTGAAAACCATGAGTCTCCCTTTAGGAAGCTTTACGAGTCCATGAAAGAAGAGTTTGATGTGAAATCAGAAAAAGGAAATGTTCTACAGAGCGGTAAAAAATCGGGGTCACGGAGTCGTCGTGCATCAGAGAACGAATGTTCTGGTGGGTTACAAGACGGGACACAAGTCCTGGTCTCACTGAAATCCAGACCCAGGTCCGGTCGATTCACCCCAATGAAGGCCGACCCTGCTTTGGGAGAACAAGGAACTAGCCAGACTGAGGGCAGGAGAAAGGATGAGGAAGCTCTTCAGACTCCCAAGGAGCCCATGGGTCCCAGCATCCCTCCTAAGGAGATGACAAGAACCAGGACCATGGTCCAACATTCCCCACACAATGCCTCACGAAAACGTCGGAGCGAAGACATGCATGTTCCCAGCGGAAGTGAGTCCGTGGATCTGGATCAAAGGGAAGGCTTCGGGACAGATTACAAAACATTTCCTCCTCGGAATCTCTTAACCAGACATCAGACGCCCACTAGAGTCGAAAATGCTGATAATTTTGGAACTACACCGGAAAAATGCTTCTCCAAAAAGAAGGGGAGTGTTCCTACCAGTGTGGACATTCTTACCACAGAACTGGAAACGCAGAATCACACTGTTTTAGCTCCATTGCCCGTTCAAGTTGAAAGGAAGATTCAAAGCATTTCCGTGCACCAGCCTGAGAAAGTGGGCACCATAGCCGGGCCCTCGAGCTCTGGGTTCCCTGGTTGTAGCTCAGTTGACAGCAACAACTTTGGTTACTCCATCAGTAAGTTTGCTTACCTGTGCATTTATTTCCCCCCGGAGGGCTCGCACATATCTAGAAAGACTTCCCGAGAGGAAGTCATGAGACCTTCCTTCCCTCAGCGGTGATGGCCCTGGTGTAGACGGTCTGTGAGGCATGGCGGTATGCTCCTGAGACAGCTATGCGCGCCGTCTGCCTGACAGGCCCGTCCTCCTGTCCCGGAGACTCGTAACCAGGGGCTCCAGAGGAAGCGCCGGTGGTCAGGGAGGTTCCCCTGGGAGCCAGGGAGAGTGAGGAGCTGCAAAACCATGGTGGAGTCTCCTGTTCCCCCTACGAGAACACAGGAGGGAAGATACGCCCAAGAAGCATAATGGCTTTTCACACAAGTTTTAATTCTGACCCATAAGGCCCTGTAGCCCATGAGTTTGCTCCCGTAAATGAAGTCCAGGGAAATCAGTCCCTTGGAAATGTTTAAATATTAGAGGGCGTCTCTCGGGGATTTACACTCTTCTCAGGGTCTCCTACTAGCGGTTTTTTGGTTTTTGTTTTTTGTTTTCTTTATAAAACACTGGACTAACCCACGGGTTTATGCATCAGGTGCTGTTGTAGGTGTTTTTCAGACATTCACACTTTTACCCCTTTGTGCAGGCAGTGGGAGTCCCTAGGGGACAGGCATTCCCGTGATCTCCCTCTTGCAAATAGGGAAGCTGATGGCCTCAGGTGACACAGCGAGGGGCAGAGCCGTGACCTCTGGAGGAGGCATGGTACCTCCCGGGCGTCTGCCCGCACTTCTCGGGTCTCTGCGGATGTTCTGAAGTAGCAGGCTTACTGTCCGGGCTCTGATCTGCAGAGGGGCCCTCGGGCAAGGTGCGCGGCTCTCTGAAATGAGACCCGCACACATCCATCACAGTGTCCCCGTGAGTCTCCGAAAGGGGCACCACTTAGACAAGGGATTGCTGTTGCGTGCTGGTTCACAAGGATGTGAGGTAGGGTTGGGACTCATGAATTGCCGATTCGAACCACCTGGAGAAGTTGTCAGGTTCGTGACTTCTCACTAGGTAGGTCTGGGTGAGGCCCGAGCTCATATGTGGCTTTTGAAAAGGCCCTCCCGGGTCACTGCGGAAACTTCCATCTCTGTCATTGCCCTCCTCCCAGGTGGAAGCCACAGGTCCAGACCAATCCCTTTATCAGGCTCCGTCCACACAGGATTTTTCACCCTTTTGTAGAAAATCTTTGTCCTGTCCCTGGATCTTCCCTGAGCCCTGAAGCAGCTCCAGCGTCCTCAGCAGGACAAAGGGCTGAAATGCCGCGGTGTTAGGTTTCAGGGGACGGTACCAGTGGTTTGTCTTTAACAGTCTTCACAAGTGTAACGAGTCTATATAAGTGTATGTCTTTCATTCTCTCTCCACATTTGTATTCCTTATTTTAGATAAGATTGAGGGAACCCCCCTAAAAAGAAGGCGGGTCTCCTTTGGTGGTCGTCTGAAGCCGGAGTTATTTGATGAGAACTTACCTCCTAATACACCTCTTAAGAGAGGAGAAATACCGAGAAGGTCTCTCGCCAGCAACACTCCACCTGTCCTGAAGAAAATCATCAAGGTATGTTGGGCAGCCTGTATCCTCTTCCTTTCACACTCCCCACACCAGCACAATTACTATGAAGACCTTTTTCTTTCTAATAAAAAAGTAAAAATAAAAAAATCTAAAGGAGAGCTCCTTCACTGGGCTTCGAAGCACGATTCTAAGGGGCTGAATACAGGCGAGTCCTCAGGGCTGCCTTCTGCAGGGCCGCCCTGCCAGCCAGACTCACAGGTGATCGCCGGGGGGTTCAGTAAAGACTAGCAATTAAAGGGACCTCTGGGTGGCTCTGTCGGTTAAGCGTCTGACTCTTGATTTCGGCTCAGGTTACGATCTCAGGGTCGTGAGATCGAGCCCCGCGTCCTGCTCCGTGCTCAACTGGGGCGTCTGCTGAAGATTCTCTCCCTCTGCCCCTCCACCCACTTGTGTGCTCTCTGACTCTCATTCTCAAATAAATAAACAAAATCTTTAAAAAGACACACAAGCAATTACAAAGAATCTGGAGACATCATGACACATAACCCTAAGGGATTTTTTTTTTCCTTTTAGGTGAAAAGGAAAATCTTGGGTGACAACACACCTATGATTTTGACCATCAGCTATTTAAAACTTTTAATCACCTACCCTAGGCTGTGTTGTCCACCTGATTTGAGGTCTCTAGAAAGTTATGGCCTCGTGGCTCATCCTCGTCAGAGGGCCTGGGCAGGGCAGTCTTTAATTTCTTTTCAAACCGGAAGGAGTGTAAGGAATGCCGGGCTCCTTTTCCATTTTACACAGGCCCCCAGAAAGGAGCAGCCCTCCTTCTGTGTAGACCGAAGCTGGATTAGACACCTACAGATGGTGTTTTTCTCCAATTCAGATCAGAGCACGCTCACTTGTCACTCCTTGGGAGGTTCCTTCTGCCTTTCTACCCAAAATACCCCAATTAACACTTGTTCACTCTTTTTTTCCCATTTTTTTTTTCCTTAAATGAGGGGGACAGACTCCTATTTCTACCTAATACTTGACAGACAGTGGTTGAAATGTTTTGGTTCTTCAAGATTTAAACAGCCAAACTCCCTAATGGGGGGACACTTGGGTGGCTCCGTTGGTTAAGCATGTGCCTTCTGTTCAGGTTATGATCCCAGGGTCCTGGGATTGAGCCCCTTATTGGGCTCCCTGCTCAGCGGGGAGCCTGCTTCTCCCTCTCCCTCTGCTGCTCCCCTGCTTATGTGCTCTCTCTGGCAAGTAAATAAACAAAATCTTTAAAAAAACAATTCTTAATTGGGTAGGGTTTTAAATTCACTACAGAGCTGTTATATTTGTGGTAAGGTTTCTTACGAACATTTAAATATCGTCAGGAATACCCCCAACCACCAAGAAAAGAAGATTCCTCAGAAATCCGTTTGGAAGTGACTGCACAAGACCACTGTAAAGGATCTCCAGCTCGGAATCTGAAGCAAACTTCTCCAGTTGCAAATGACACCCACCGCAGGTCATGCAAGGTGTCCTCAGTCTCCATTGGCACCAAATCTCATCACACAGACATTCCCAAGAGGGGAGGGAGGAAGAGCGGCACCTTGCCTTCAAAGAGAACTTCCATCGATCGAAGCCAACATGAGATCTTGCAGAGGATTTATTCCAAAAGAAGGAGTGGTGCTTCTGAAGCCAATTTAATCGGTGAGTGTTGTGTTGGCAGATAATGTCAGGTTCATTTTCTCACGAATACAAGTTTGGAAACGTTTCAACACCTTCTCCTTCTGACAGTGGCAAAATCGTGGGCGGATGTCGTAAAACTCGGAGCCAAACAAACACAAGCTAAAGTGGTTAAACACGGCCCCCAAAGGCAGCTGAGCAAAAGGCAGAGGAGAATGAATACTCCAAAGGTAGGAGTTGCCCTTTGAGCCCATTCTCTTCTGTATGATTCCGTGGACTGTGCATTTACTCTTTGACATTTTGTTCATCTTGTTATATTTTTTTCCAGAAGCCTGTTAGCGATGTTCACAATCAATTTAGCACAGGCCATGCCAATTCTCCTTGTACCATAATAATAGGGAAAGCTCACATTGAGAAAGTAAACGTGCCCGCTCGGCCCTACAGAATGCTCAACAGCTTTGTATTCAACAAAAAAATGGACTTTAATGAAGATCTTTCAGGTAAAAACCTAGCTTGGGTCTTATAAACGATAGCCTTCTGATCCTCCTTCGTGGGAGGGCGTGGATGGGGGTGCTATAGTTGTGTCTAGTGAATGGGTTTTAGGAGGATACACATTTTAGTCGACTTCTGGGGTGGTGATGGTTCAAGGAAGAGAAGGCTGGATTGGAGACCAAGAACAAGTCCCCGGTAATAAGGGGGATCATGAGTCCTGCAGGAAGCAGGTAGGAATGGAAAATGCACAACTTTACCTTGGATTGCAGCACGGGTATGGAGACCTGGAAGCTTCTTTATGCTGAAGGGAGCAGGCTTGCCCTTAAAGTTGCCCCTTCCCTGCATCCCTACTCATCGATGTCCGCAAAGTTAGAGCCATTGGTTTGAGCAATGTTTCACTGCTTCATGCTTTTCTTTGCTTGCATGAAACTTAACTGTCTTAAAACAAAGGCCTGTAAGAAGGTTTCCCTTAAGCGTCAGTAGCTGAGCCAGTGTTTCCATTAGCAAGAGTGGGATGTGACTTCCTTGTGGTTGCCCTAGGTTAGAACCAAGGCAAGAGCCCAGGGTTGGGATTTCATGCCACGCAGTTTGACCACTGGTTTCTGCCTCGAGCATTTCTGGAGGGAGATGAGACCTGATTCCATCTCCCATTAGATGGATTCTTGTTCTTATTTCCTGGCATATTTTAAGATGCATTAGTTGTACCGCTCTGTAGAACCCAAATAAGGTACACTGTGATTACAGTCATAGTTGGATCAATACATTCAGCTTTTTAAAAAACAAACCACAAAAATGCAGAACCTTTGTAGCCAGTTTTGATAGCATGCTCAATGAGAAAAACGTTTCGGGTATATGCCACCCAATAGGCAGACATATGCACATACGTGTATCCTTGTAAATTATGTATGAGTGTAACTAACATCGATGTTATGAAGCATTAAAAACCAATTCTCAAAAATATTTTTTTAAGATAAAATTAATAGATATTTATATACTCAGTACCCAGGACAGTGGATTTCCCCAAACTTCCTTCAACACAACTTCCTAGAAAGTCAAACGACTTCCACCCCTTGCTGTGAGTAACTTTCATGACAAAACATCAATCTGTGCAGAAAACTGGATCCTGGGTACTTTAAGGAAGGCCTGAACACGGGCAGAGGGATGAGATTTTTAAGTGAACTGGCTTATTCGAGGGCCCTCAGAACAGGCTTTACAAACAGATGCCAGACAGAGCATTTTGATCCATTGATGGCGGAATGAGAAAAGAGGACATGTGAGTGAGTGTTTCAGAAAGATAAAACTTCCATCTAAAGAACTATATGGTTCTTTTCTTCTCTTGTGTCAATACTACTTTTTGGTGTTAAAATGAAAGCATAGTGATATTATCACTTGACAATACTATTAATGGGCAGCCCAATGGACAGTCGTTTTTTAAAAATTGGGCACATTTTATTTGTACATAAAACCCAGGTCTACATAAGTTAGGATTTTTCAAGGAAGCAAGAGGACACTGGGTTTCCAGATGTCTGGAGGGGAGGCACGGGGGGCCAGCCTCTCTCCTGGCCAGTGCTCAGGATCAGGGCAATGGTCCAAGACCGAGAGGTCAACTGCCTTCATTAGATTTTCTCACCAAGAGGAAAGGCAAAGAAGAGATACAATTCCGGCTTATCACTGCTCTTCAACAAAATGAGTTCATTATTAATACATGACCCTGTCTCTCAAGAATTCTGGGGAGAGATTCCTTGTTCTCTCTCTGCCACTTCCTCTGGTATATCTGAGGACTGGCATGCCTGTTGGCACATAGGAGCAATATGCTAATTGCTTTTCCAATATTCTCACATCACAGGGTTAACTGAAATGTTCAAGACTCCGGCGAAAGTGAAGCCACAAATAATGAGCCCATGTCCCAACGCTTTTTCAAATTCAGAGGATTTCCTCGGAAAAAAGTTTCAAGTACCTAATTCAGGAGAAAAACCTCTGCTGTGCACTTCAGAAAATTTTGGTTGGTTTACTGTTTTCTTTTGTTTTTTTTCCTGCACTTTGATGTTTTCACTAGTTATTGTAGATGGTATTATTATTTTTTAAACAGATGCTGCATTATTTCTCTACAATAGATAGTCCCGAAAAAATACCATTTGCAGCTTCTCTGTTCTGTCATGTTTAGAGGAAATTCCTTTTAGCAGTTGAACTAACATTGGTATTTAGCGAGTGGCATAAAAAGGAATAATTGTAATAATAACATTTTTAATAATGGTAATTAATAATTGTATTAATAATTTTAATACAGTAGTTTAATAATTGCAAACTACCTGTGTACACTTCTGCCTTTTTTATTTAAAGAGGTTGACCAGCAGAGAAGTGGCATGATCTCTCATCATAGTTAGGTAAATTTCTCAAACTCAAAATAACTGTAAATAATCAAAGAGAAAGATAATGTGCGCACTGTGCGATTATCGCTGCTGATATTCTGGATGGTCTGTGCTGCAGCGTGAGCCCCAGATGGGCAAAATGAGTCTGTCTTGCTCTCTCTCTGAGTACTGGTTACCCCTGTCCTAGAGGGAACAGTTTTCACTCACAGTGTCTCCTCTGCTGAGCAGCAGGTGTTTCCTGTAGGGTACGGACCCCACGCATACTGAGCATAAGCCATGTTACAGTGTAGATGGTTCAACAGCAGAAACAGCTGTTTGCTTCTCATGCTTGAAGAAAATGTCCGTGTTCAGGTGCCTGAGACACGGTGCGACAGCCTTCAGGAGACCCTTCTTAAGGAATTTTTTTTTCTTTTATCTGATCCCTGTAGATCCGAATCACCACCTCAGTATGACTCCACTGTCTGTCACCAGATAACATTATTCCTAAGTGTGTGTGGTTCATACTTAAGAAAGATGTACGGCCACATAAGTAGCCAGCTTCATAAGCTTAGCTGGCTGGCTAGGGGGCTGAATTATTGACTCTTCCGCAGTACTTCATAAAGGTAAAATACCAAATTGGCACAATGCAGGGAAGAGAATCTCTCTCTCATGTGTGTTTTTGTTTCCTGTAGGAGAGAATGAATTCCCCGTGACTCAGAATGCTCCACAAGAGCCATCTGATCAAAGTCCTGCCAGCCCTGCCCTCAGACGACCGGCTATTAGAGTAAATGCAAACATCGAGAAAACTCCAGGATCGGAGGCAGAGCCTCCGAAGGCGGCGTTAAGCGCAAACAGGTTCCGAAGGTCCTCAGAGCTCAGAAATACACAGATGCCAGGTCCAGGGCACAGGGACGAAGAAGCAAACACAGACCCTGCTGAGAACACTTCAGGGCGACATCTGAGGAAAACTCCACAGCGAGGACAGAAACCTGAGGGAGCGACAGAGGAACGGGAGAGCTGTTTTGAAGCATGTGAGAAAGCTATCAAATCAGAAGACAGTTCTGAAAACATGGTAGCTGTGAGGAGATCAAGAAGATATTCGGAGCAAAAATGGGAACCAATAGCAGATCTGAGCACCCTCAAGAGACAGCAGGACACAGAATCCAAGGAAGACCTGGGGGGCATCCACGGTCTCCCCCAAGCCCCCACTCAAGCCCAGGAACCAATGGATGTGGGAAACAAAACTGCAGAAAAGTGCCAGAAATCTTTAAAGCCAGAACTAGTTGGCATGCCAAACAGGATGAACGTACAACTCAAGACCTCTCCCCAGAAAGTGGACCTAGACGAAGAGCCCTCAACTCTCAGGAAGTCCACCCGAATGTCGGGGGGAAGCATCCCCTCACACGGAGAACCAGGAGAAGGTGATGAAGACATCATATTGTTGAACAGAACTCCAAAGCAGACACTGGACTCTGCAGAAAATGTAACCGGAAGCAAGAGGCAGTCAAGAACGCCCAAGAGAAATGCCCAATCCTTAGAAGACCTGGCTGGCCTCAGAGAGCTCTTCCAAACACCAAACCACACAAATAAACCAAGGACTGATGGCAAAACCACCAAAGTACCCTGCAAATCTCCACTAGCGGAACGAGTCAACACACCAACAAGTAGAAAGAGGCAGCTTGAGACCCCTCTCCAGAAAGTGGACATAGAGGAAGAGCCATCAGCTCTCAGGAAGCCCGCACAGACACCAAGGAAAACCATGCTCTCATACAGAGAACCAGGCGGTGGTGATGAAGACATCAAATTGTTCAAGGAAACTCCAAAGCAGACACTGGACTCTGCAGAAAATGTAAATGGAAGCAAGAGGCGGTCAAGAACACCCAAGAGAAATGTCCAGTCCTTAGAAGACCTGGCTGGCCTCAGAGAGCTCTTCCAAACCCCAGAGCACACCCAGGACCCAGTGACTGATGACAAAACCACCGAAGTCCCCTGCAAATCTCCACTAGCAGATCCAGTCAACACACCAACAAGTAAAAGGAGGCAGCTCAAGACCCCTCGCCAGAAAGTGGACCTAGAGAAAGAGCCCTCAACTCTCAGGAAGCCCACCCAAATGGAGGGGGAAAACGTGCCTTTATACAGAGAACCAGGAGGCAGTGATGAAGACATCAGAATGTTTAACAAAACTCCAAAGCAGACACTGGACTCTGCAGAAAATGTAACTGGAAGCAAGAGGCGGTCAAGAACACCCAAGAAAAATGTCCTGTCCTTAGAAGACCTGGCTGGCCTCAGAGAGCTCTTCCAAACACCAAATCACACAGATAAACCAAGGACTGATGGCAAAACCACCAAAGTCCCTTGCAAATCTCCACTAGCGGAACCAGTCAACACACCAACAAGTAAAAGGAGGCAGCTCAAGACCCCTCCCCAGAAAGTGGACCTAGAGAAAGATCTCAGGAAGCCCATTCAAACTCCAGGGAAAAGCACACACTCACACAGAGAACCAGGAGGTGGTGATGAAGACATCAAATTGTTCAAGGAAACCCCAAAGCAGAAACTGAACCCGGCAGAAAATGTAACTGGAAGCAAGAGGAGGTCAAGAACACCCAAGAGAAATGTCCAGTCCTTAGAAGACCTGGCTGGCCTCAGAGAGCTCTTCCTAACACCAAATCACACAGATAAACCAAGGACTGATGGCAAAACCACCGAAGTCCCCTGCAAATCTCTACTAGCAGATCCTGTCAACACACCAACAAGTTGGGGACATCAACTTGAGACCTCTCCCCAGAAAGTGGACATAGAGGAAGAGCCATCACCTCTCAGGAAGTCCACCCGAACCCCAGGGGAAAGCACACACTCACACGGAAAACCAGGAAATGGTGATGAAGACATCAAATTGTTCAAGGAAACTCCAAAGCAGACACTGGACTCTGCAGAAAATGTAAATGGAAGCAAGAGGCGGTCAAGAACACCCAAGAGAAATGTCCAGTCCTTAGAAGACCTGGCTGGCCTCAGAGAGCTCTTCCAAACCCCAGAGCACACCCAGGACCCAGTGACTGATGACAAAACCACCGAAGTCCCCTGCAAATCTCCACTAGCAGATCCAGTCAACACACCAACAAGTAAAAGGAGGCAGCTCAAGACCCCTCGCCAGAAAGTGGACCTAGAGAAAGATCTCAGGAAGCCCATTCAAACTCCCGGGGAAAGCACACACTCACACAGAGAACCAGGAGAAGGTGATGAAGACATCAAATTGTTCAAGGAAACCCCGAAGCAGAAACTGAACCCTGCAGAAAATGTAACTGGAAGCAAGAGGAGGTCAAGAACACCCAAGAGAAATGTCCAGTCCTTAGAAGACCTGGCTGGCCTCAGAGAGCTCTTCCAAACCCCAGAGCACACCCAGGACCCAGTGACTGATGACAAAACCACCGAAGTCCCCTGCAAATCTCCACTAGCAGATCCTGTCAACACACCAACAAGTAGAAAGAGGCAGCTCAAGACCCCTCTCCAGAAAGTGGACATAGAGGAAGACCCCTTAGCTCTCGGGAAGCCCACCCGAACACCAAGGAAAACCATGCGCTCATACAGAGAACCAGGTGGTGGTGATGAAGACATCACATTGTCTAAGGAAACTCCAGAGAAGAAGCTAGACTGTGTAGAAAATCTAGCCGGAAGCAAGAAGCAGAAAAGAAGAGGGAAAGAAAAGGCCCAATTCCTAGAAGACATGGTCGGTTTTAAAGAGCTCTTCCAAACCTCAGAGCACACCAAGGAACCAACAGCTGTTGTCCAAACCGCAATAATGCCTGGCAGATCTCCACTAGCAGAAACAGTCAACACACCAACCCATATGAAGAGATGTCTGAAGATACCTCTGGGGAAGGTAGACGTAGAGAAGGAACTCTCACCTCTCACAGATCCCATCCAAATGCCAGGGGAAGCCACACACACACACAGAGAACCAGGAGGTGATGATGCAGCCATCAGATTGTTCAAGAAAACCCCAAAGCAGAAATTGGATTCTGCAGAAAATGTAACTGGAAGCAAGAGGCGGTCAAGAACACCCAAGAAATTGGTCCATTCCCTAGAAGACCTGGTTGGTCTCAAAGAGCTGTTCCAAACCCCAGAGCATACGCCGGACCCAGTGACTGATGACAAAACCACAACAGTCCCCTGCAAATCTCCAGCAGCAGATCCAGTCAACAAGCCAACAAGTAGAAGGAGGCGACTCAAGACCTCTCCCCAGCAAGCAAACATAAAGGAAGAGCCCTCAGCTCTCAGGAAGTCCACCCGAACACGGGGAGGAAACACACACTCATACAGAGAATCAGGAAGTGCTGATGAAGATATCAAATTGTTGAATAAAACTGCAAAGCAGACACTGGACTCTGCAGAGAATGTAACTGGAAGCAAGAGGCAGTCAATACCCAAGAGAAATGTCCAGTCCTTAGAAGACCTGGCTGGCCTCAGAGAGCTCTTCCAAACCCCAGAGCACACCCAGGACCCAGTGACTGATGACAAAACCACCAAAGTCCCCTGCAAATCTCCAGCAGCAGATCCAGTCAACAAGCCAACAAGTAGAAGGAGGCGACTCAAGACCTCTCCCCAACAAGCGGACGTAAAGGAGGAGCCCTCCACTCTCAGGAAGTCCACCCGAATGCGTGGGGGAAACGCACACTCACACAGAGAACCAGGAGGTGCTGACGAAGACATCAAATTGTTGAAAAAAACTGCAAAGCAGACACTGGGCCCTGCCGAGAATGTAATGCTCAGGAAAAATCGGCTAAGAGCACCTAAGGGAAAGGCCCAGCCCCTGGAAGACCTGGCCCGTTTCAAAGAGTCGTCCCCAGTGCGGGACCACAGCAAGGAGCCGGGAAAGGCCGCGGGTAGCCCTAAGGACGCTCCAGAGCAAAGTCCAGGCAGGAGGAAACCTGCGAACGTTTTGCAAAGAGGCCTCAGGGCCCGTAGAGTAAGAGCCGTGGAAGACCTGGGGGGCCACAGAGAGCCCGACGAATCTGGAAATGAAGGCGGTGTTTCCCTGCCCTCCAAGAGGAAACGAGGAATGGAGGAAGGTTCGACAGGAGCGAAGAGGCTGTGCTCTGTGACCCCTGCGCAGGGCACTGCAGAGGAGAAGCCACCCCCAAAGAGGAGGAGGATGGCTCCCACAGAGGGGTGTGACCCGCCTGAACCCCTGACAGTGAAGAAGAGGCTGAGGGTCATGGCAGAAAGGATGGAACTCCTGGGAGACCGGCCAAGGAGCAGCAGGGAGATTAAAACAAGGGGAAGAGAAGCAGGAAGGACGACCCCTCCACATCAGGTGATGCTGGGTGGATAGGCCATCTTGGATGGGGTTCTCTGTTGGGGGCTAATGTTTGTTCATAGCTGGAAGGTATATATGATTATCTTTTCCCAAAGGGGTCTGCATTCTACACTGAATAACTGCACACCAGGGTAAAGAATCATTTGGGGATTTACAGAGAGAATAGACAGGTTGGGGAAAATAACTAGTCAAAATTACTAATAATTTTGACAAGAGTTTCTCAGGAACTGGTTGAGTTATGCTCATCTGCAGAGGTAGGAAAGGTGCTGAGAAAAGGTGGGGAGCTCAGTCCTGTGTTCCAGACCCCACAAGCAGGAGCACTGGGTGGGAGTGGTATCTGTGTCAGTCTTTACACGGTTAGACAATCCATGTGGGGATTTGCGTCCTGAGAACAACCTACCTGTCCGGCTTGTGAGGTAGGGAGGGTTACTCCTGCACGGAGAGAAGTTCATAAATTCAGTTCCAGAAATTGCGATTCTCCCGTCCGGCTCCAGCAATGATTGGGAAAGGATTAGGAAATCATTTACTGCTTGAAAAGGGCACATTTTTCTAGAATGTCTTTTAAATGCTTGTGGTAATCCCATTTGACATATATGACACTCAGATATGGTGATGGAAATTGAGACCGAACTCCTTATTCACGGTTTACCAGTAGAGAGGATTTCTCCCTGGAACACAGTGATTCCTGGCATCTTAGAAAACAACTGTTAACTTTTCAAGCGAATTCTTTTTAAGTTCACTTTGTTTATTTTTTTAAAGAGTTTATTTATTTTTTTGACAGAGAGATAGAGAGCACAAGTAGGCAGAGAGGCAGGCAGAGGGAGAGGGGGAAGCAGGCTCCCCGCTGAGCAGGGAGCCCGACGTGGGGCTTGATCTCAGGACCCTGGGATCATGACCCAAGCTGAAGGCAGCCACTTAACCAACTGAGCCACCCAGGCGCCCCTAAGTTCACTTTGATCCTCTCTCTCCATGTTGGATTGTGAGAATTGTATTACTCATGACTGGCATGTTGTGCATGTCTTGACACTTTTAGGGAATGTCCCTGCGCTCTAGACGTCCAAATAAAACCGAGGTAGCAGAGGAAAGACCCAAGCCTGTTATAACAGCAGCAGAAAAGCCGAGAACAAAGAGAAGTGACAAGAAGCCCCTGAAGACGTCCCAAGAGACAACGTTACAAAGCCCAGAAGACGAAGCCAAGAACTCGGCATGTGGGGGCAAAACCCGTGAAAGCAGAACGCGTCTGAGGTCTGCCAGCCTGGGTCAGATGCCCTCGCCTGACGTGGCCGAGGAGAAGCAAAGGGAGAAAAGAGTGGGTGTCCGTGGGAAGAAGCAGGAGGAGGAAGTAAGGCAACCTTCAGACCCCATGCGTTTGAGATCCAGAAAAATTACAGTCCCTCCTGGAGGAAATGCTTCAGAGAGCGAACCCCAACAGAGGGTAACTCGGAGCGCCAAGAGATGTGCCGAAAATATAAAAAAGGCAAGTAATTTACTGTTTTCCTTTTTTTTCCTTTTTTTGTGAGCATAGAGTATTGCAATACAATTTTTGCCCCACGTGCAGAAGCAAAGAGAGCATGACCTATAACGCCCTGTCGGCTCCTAGTTATACTGGTGTAGGAAGCATGAGTCTACAGCACGTGTTTTGTCGCAGCTGTATTCAGCTGGATCTGTCTCCACTTCCAGCAGAAAACTGACGTTTTGAAGACACCATCCAGGAAGAGCCAGGAATTTATGCTGTCAGTACTTTCTGACTGCCTACAACACACCCAGTAAGAAAATTCTGGGTCAAGGTCTTCAGTGTCCCCATTAGTTCAGCAGAACTTACTAAGGCAGAAAGGCGGTCCTGCCTGGCTTTCCCAGGAGTTCCAAGAGTGTCCCATGGCGAGTGGTATGCGACGCCTGCTCATGTTACGTCACCTTTAGCAGCACGTGAGCCGTCTGCCATCTGACTAAATCCACAGCGCGTGCTTAAATTCGGTCGGTGTCCTTCTGCGGAATACGTGGTTTTGTGAGTTTGAACCAGCGGGGTTCCGCAGCTCCCTTTCTGGGGGTGGCATAAATTTCTGAGCGCGCATTTCGAGCCGAGAGGCTGGTGCTGTGGGTCGCTACTCTAACCCACACACGCGACCTTCCTGCTTCGCCGTCCGGTTCAGGGCCAGCTGCGAAGGCAGAGGAGGTCTGTTTCCTGCGAGCCGGAATGGGGGTGATGGCCCCATCCGGGGTGTCATTGGGCACCCCTGCCCCGCTTTGAGCCGCGAGGGAGCAGGGACAGAGCAGGTGACTGTGGTCAGCGAGAACAGAGTGTACTCCGCCCAGCCCTTTATTAGCTCGTGTAGCGCCCATCCTCTTGTCCTCCGCGTGTGGGTCTCCACCTTGACCTTTTCCTGATATTTCGGTCATGGGATGACCATCTGCTCCGTAGGTGGGGACACCTTCAGTCAGTGTTCAAGGATTTCCGGTCATTTGCTTTCAAACTCGGCCGTCGATTTTTTCAATTCTTGCCTTTTGTTTTCCTGACCTCCCCTCCCCTCAGTGACGTGTTAAAGATCGCTTGGTGAGGTCCCTGGTGGGGTCTGCCTCTCATGGGCTGTTGGGTCAAGGGAGGGCGTAAAGTAGGAGCGGACACCCCACTGGTTCTGAGAAGGCAGGCGATCTCTTGTTTTATCTGATTGTCCAGAAGGACGAGCCTCCTCTTAGCTCCTTCGGGAGCAGGTGCGGCCGGTGGTCACACTCACCGAGCATGGAGAGATTGTCCGCTTCATACACAGAGATTCCTTAGAAGACCCAAAACGTCTTGTCCTGTTTATCCATTTGAATTCACTTTTTTGAATGGTCTTTTTTAATTAGTGAAAAAAAGTGTGTATTTGTGTGGAAGTTTTCTTTCTTTCTTTATTATGTATTAACTTAATAAGTTACAAAGCTTCCTATTTAAATTTATAGTAACATTTTAAAGAACAAAAGCAACTTTCACAGGGCACATCTCAAAACTCATTTCCAACCTTAAAATTAATTTCCTAAAACTAAAGGCCTGTGTCACACCCAGTAAGGATTTGGGTTTTTGCAGAGTTGGTTACGAAACATTGTTCTTTTCAGTTACTTAAGAGTTCTATTTTTCTTCCCAAACAGGATAATGACAACATGGGCATCAAGAAATCAAGAACCAGGAGTCGTCGGGACAATGAAGATATTTAGCTAAGAAGTTGAAAAGGGGAGAAAGAAAAAAAAAGTAATAAGTTCAGTTTAGTGATATATTCTAGTACAATATTTGGGTGAATATAAAAGGGAATTTTGTAAATAATGCTATCCGGGTGTTTAAGGAAAGAAAGCTTAGAATTTTCTGTCTCCAAGTGGTCTATTCACAAAGGCCACGTGGAGGTCATGAAGAGGACTGCTGGTCTCATTAAGTAATAAAAATGTGAAATTTGGCTTGGGGACGGGTGGGGGGCGGGGGTTGGGACCAAGTATGGCCTTTAACGTGGCCAAATGAAGCCGTGACGTTTGTCACCCCTGCCCGTGCTTTTCAGTCCCATGTGCGTGCACTTCCCCACGCTGCACTGTAAATGCTTTGTGTGGGTCTGTGTCCCACGGCAGAATGTGAAAGCAGGGACTTCTGTCCCTAGGTCCCCACACTGGGCAGGCACTCAGGAAACATGAATGAATGGGCAGATGAACAAACTCATCGGCTATTTCTTTACCATGGGGGACACGTTGGGTCCACTCTCGAGGGCTGTTGGTCCCCTGCACAGGACAGCCCCGTCCCCGGGGTCCCTACCACAGAAGGGAATACACGTGCGACCTGGAGGAGGCTGGTATTTAATGACTGACTGGCGGCTTGTCTTTTCCGCCTCAAGCTTCTCTGTCTGACCTGGGACTGCTCGCATCTGAGAGGGCATCGGGCACTGGGTCTCGGGGCCGTCGGCCGGGGTGCCACTCGTCTCTGAACGGCGACCGCTCTCCTAGCTTCTCGCGTTTTCCTTTTACCTTTCCGAGCTCTCTCGAATCTGCTCCCACCTGTGCTTTCTCTGACCGCCCCGTCAGCTGCCTTCCTTTCCAGCATGCCCCTTGTTCTGCAAACCACCCAAACCCTCCTCCAGAAAAGACGGCGATTTCCGCGCCGTCCATGCAAGCCACAGCCCCTCTGGTTTCAGACCGAGACAGCTCCCTGCTGGGCATTTCCATCTCCGTGTTCCACTCCGTCCTGTTCCTCTTTCTGTGTCCCCTGAAATAGAAGACAGCGCACCTGCCATCCGGTCACCTGTCCGAGTCCTCCCCACTCCCCTGCCTAGCCAGGTCGAGGTGGGGATGGAAGACCAGAGAGGGCAGCCTTTGAGCCGCGAGGGAGCAGGGACAGAGCAGGTGACTGTGGTCAGCGAGAACAGAGTGTACTCCGCCCAGCCCTTTATTAGCTCGTGTAGCGCCCATCCTCTTGTCCTCCGCGTGTGGGTCTCCACCTTGACCGGCAGGGGACACTGGAGAGGCTCCACGGGGCAGGTGATGGTTGAACTGGGCTAGAAGAGGGGTGGGGTCTTGGGGAGCGGAAGAACGGGGAGTAAGTTTAGGAAGTGCAGCCCCGATGAGAAAAGGCACTTTATTTGAAGGTGCGAGTCATGAATGTGTCATTGTAGCAAAATACAAGAAAATGTAAAATAATGGGATTTTTCTATGATTAAGCTGTTCTGCCAACACTTCAGATTTCATAGTAATTATGAACCTTGCATATAGAAAAATTTCAATTAGCACATGCCTGGGGAATGGGATATACTGGTTAATTAAGAAACCCTTTAGGGTTCAGTTCTAACCAAAAACCTCACTGCAGTACATCAGGATATCTCACCTTCGTAAGGGCACAGTATTTCCAGAGCATAGTAAGAGCGTCTTAGAGGCCTGTAGATGCCGGGTTAGGAAGGCTCATGATAAAGCCTGTCCTCAGGACACGTGTTTCACTTGGCATTTGGGGGGAAGCATCAGACGGTAAGCAACTAGGTCAACTTTGTCTTTGAGGACACGGTGCGAGAAAGAAATACCTACTTGCCCTGGGGTTTGGTAACTTCTCTGGGCCTCAGATTCCAAGTGAGCAACATCCACCTGATAGAAAGTTCTCAGTGAACAGAAACTTTTTATGTTTTGTGCCTCCACACGTCTGCGTGATCTGCCCGCCAGGCTCTCTTCCTGTATTTCTGTAGTCTGTGCCGGGTAGCCGCTGACTTCCTTAGGCCAGACCCCTCCCCATACACACACGTGCACACTCCTAGTAACACACACACGTACTACACACGTGCACACTCCTAGTAACACACACGTACTACACACGTGCACACCCCTAGTAACACACACACATACTACACACGTGCACACTCCTAGTAACACACACGCACGTACTACATACGTGCACACTCCTAGTAACACACACGTACTACACACGTGCATGCTCCTAGTAACACACACACGTACTGCACACGTGCACACTCCTAGTAACACACACACATACACGTACTACACACGTGCACACTCTTAGTAACACACACGTACTGCACACGTGCACACTCCTAGTAACACACACACATACACGTACTACACACGTGCACACTCTTAGTAACACACACGTACTGCACACGTGCACACTCCTAGTAACACACACACATACACGTACTACACACGTGCACACTCTTAGTAACACACACACGTACTACACACGTGCACAGTCCTAGAACACACACACGTTCTACACACGTGCACACTCCTAGTAACACACACACACGTACTACACACGTGCACACTCCTAGAACACATACCCACACGTACTACACACGTGCACGCTCCTAGTAACATACACACACACATACTACACACGTGCACACTCCTAGTAACACACGTACTGCACACGTGCACACTCCTAGTAACGCACACATACACGTACTACACACGTGCACACTTAGTAACACACACACGTACTGCACACATGCACACCTAGTAACACACACACATACACGTACTACACACGTGCACGCTCCTAGTAACACACACGCACGTACTACACACGTGCACGCTCCTAGTAACACACATGCACGTACTACACACGTGCACAGTCCTAGTAACACACACTCACACATGTACTACACACGTGCACACTCCTAGAACACACACACACACGTACTGCACACGTGCACACTCCTATTAACACACACACAATCCTACACACATACTCCTATGCACACATGTACACATCATAGTAACACGTATTCCCACACACACCCTCATGCAAACATACATACACATACAAACAGTACTCCTAACACACACACACACTGCACTTTTCTCTGCCTGAGACTCTCCCCATGTCCTTCCTGCTTCATAGACGGTAACCTCCAGGCCTGAGCTTGGCTCTGGTGAGGCTCCTCCAGGAAGCCTGGCTCCCCGGTTTCCCGGTCCGGCGTGGCCCCCACCCCTTGCTCCGGGGGCCTCCTGGGCTAATCTGTGGCACATGGCTCCGGGGAAACCAGCGCACTACCTGGGAGTCAGCCTCGTCTGCTAGCACGAAGCTCTGTCCTTCACAACGGGCAGACCAGGGGTCCACCAGCACGTTCCAGTGGCCCCAGCCACATGACGTGGCCGACCAGCTGTCTGTGAAGTGACATTTTAAAACCCATAGGCTTTTTATTAAAGGAAGGGTGGGGGGGACGGAGGCAAAAACAGGAGCCACAGACCGGGGAGCCACAGACCGGGGCTGAGTCAGAGGGCCCTGTTCGCCAGCATGTCTGCGTCTCTAGGACTCCGACGTGGTGGGACCGCAACTCTTCCCCTGGCTCCCCTGGCCGGTGAGCCGTCGCATTAGCCCTGCGGGAACAGCCCTCATACATAGAGAAGGGGACCCCTGGGCCCCCGACCATATCTGATCAGTCTGGGCGGAAGCGGTGGGTCCAGGGACAAGGATTTGACCCAGGCCTGCCAGACTCAGCCTTTTGGCCGCTGGAGCATGATCTAGATCCTGGGAGAGAACGTGTGAGCAAGTCCTGGGGGTGGGGTCCCGGGGGTGGGACCCCGCGGTGAGTGCGCTTGTCCCGGGGAGGAGGTGTTCTGTCGGGAGGTAGAGCAAGGCTGTCAGGTGTCTGCGTGTGTCTGGACTTTATCCCTACCTGGAGGGGCTGAGTAAGAAAGGAAGGGAAGGCTCCCTCAATCTTACACACAAGTCAGGACGGGGAACCTGGGACTCGACTGCCCCGCACTCACCGGGTGGAAGCTTCCCAGGTTGTCACGGGGGGACTACATCGCGGATGTCAACTCCATAAAGCAAAGGCTACCTCTTCACTAACAATGAGTCAAGATACGTGGCTGGGATACTATCTAGGAGTTTCCTCTAGGTGAGCCACTGAATCGTCTTCCTGGACGCAGTTCCAGGCCCCCTCCCCGGATTCCAGGGCCGTGCAGAGAGACCAGGCCTCTGAGGGCAGGGGCATGGTCCTCCCCATCTTGGCACCTCCAGTGCTGGCACATGAGCATCCAGTAATCTGTAAACTGGGAGTTCGTGAATGGTGCTCTTTACAAAGGACAGAATGCCCGTGACTTGTTCGCACAAAGCCCCTCCTCGTGTCTCCACCATGATTTCGTAGGAATGAAAGATCTATTTGGTATGTTTATTGGGCCCCAGAGGGCCCTGCTGTTGGGCAGACTCAGCCTCATTCTCACCAACCCAATCTGTAAGCTAGTGAGTCCCCAAGTTTCCCGGACGAGGGGTTTAAACAGCCATCAGTGACGATCTTCTATAAAGTATTGAAGGGAAATATTTCTAATCTGAGTAACAGAAGGTTGGGTGTCTTGTGATAAAAAGAATCACAATAAATCGAGAAAAAGTCAAGTGACTTTTTGGAAATGGATAAAAAATTTGGAAGCTGGATAAAAAATCCGAATTGGTGAATCACAGATAAAATACAAAAAATAAAAGGTGAAAAGATGCTCGACCCACTGCAAGTTAGGGAAATGCAAGTTGAAATGAAGTATGACTTTTTTGCTTCTAGGTTTTGCAAAAACTAAGAGGTTTGCTCGTATCCAGGGTTAGTGATGCAGAGGCAAACAGGAACCAGCTGCAGCACCAGCGGTAAACGAGTTAGGCCATCTTCTGGCAACTTGGCAGTTACTACTGATAATTAAGATGATACATATTAAAATGTGTATAGCCCAGGAACTCCACCCCTAGGAAGCTCTCCTGGAGAAGTACTTGGTACCCGAGAGCAAACGCACGTGCATGCAGGTGTTTTCGTCCCGACACTGGAGGATGCAAGCCAATGTCCATGATGGAGGAATGACCATCAGAGTCTGTGAGGTTTGGAGAATACGAAGTAGCCCTTTAAAGGCAGCTGAGGAAGCTGCATGCGTGTGGACATGGCCAGATGCTAAGACAGAACGTTGAACAAAAGGGCGATTCACACAACTGCATAGAGGGGACCTGTTTCGTCACTTCTAAGATGCAAAGTTTTCATATATTAATTCTCCAAGGTTCAGATGTATCTCACCCTTGAGTCCTTCGGTGCTCGGAAATGCCATGTAGCCTGGTAGAAGGCATACACCGCCTTCCTAATCCACGCCATTCAATCCTAGGAGGCGCTAAGCTCCTTCGGCTGTTGGCTAACCTGCTCACTAACCTGCAAGTCTGTCTGAGGTCATTAGCATGTGAAGGCATGTTTGAATGTTTCCATTTGATGGGGGGGGGGGTACCCCTGCGGCTGGCCTGATGTTTCTTCCTTTTCTGAGGCTGTGGTCTTGGTCAGATTGGTTGAGTCCCCTGGTCCTCGGTTGTCTGGTTGATGCCCATTCTTGCCCCCACCATCCATCTCCCAAACCTCCCCCGTCTGCACCTACACTTCTCTAGTCCCTTTATCCCAGGTCCTGCTGTACCTAGAGCCGATAAGGGACATGCAGACATGCAGACAGACCCGTAAGGAACACCCAGTAATTAAATGGTCCATAGGAGCAAATGGCATTTCATAGCAGGTGATATTTGGGGGTAGGAGGAGAGGGAAAGGGATATAAAAGGTTATGAAATCATCCATTTTAGCAAATATAACAAGCCTCATAAAAGTTATTAATAAATACAAATAATAAGAAGCATATGTTTAAATTCCACGTTAGCCCTGGGATATCTGAAAGAGGACGTCGGTGTGTGGGCCTGGGAAGGAAGTGAAGGTGGAGGGGTGCAGAGAGAGATTTGGGGATGACCAGAGACATATGCATGTGCAAAGGGAGATCTAACAGGGTTTCAGATTTTAGGAGGCAAAGCAGTGTTGGAAGGACTTTCTGATTCCACCTGGCTGTGGACTTTAAGCATTCTGTCATCTTCCTTGGGGACTCCGAGAAGCCACTGCTCAGAGCACAGATCCCTGTTTGGATTCCAGTAGGAGCACAGGCTCCCAGAAGGGCGAGTTATTACTCTGTGCTGCACACGCAGGTCACGCCTTCTGAAGAGCAGCTGGGAGCTGGGGCCAACCCCCAGCCACCATGCCCAGTGTCTGGGCTGTTTCCCTGCCAGGGCTGAGCTAGATGTTAGAAGTCCTAAATTAATTGTCTACATAACTCAATGTCTACCTCCTAATGAATGTCTTGTCTAAAAGGATGTAAGGCACAGTTCGAATGCAATGAAGAGATTTCATGGAAGAAAGAGACACAGGCTGGAAGTCAAAGTAAAGATTTATCCTTGCATCAGAATGTTTTAGATCTTGCAATTTGCATATACAAAGAATTCAGCAACATTCACTGGCATTATAATCAGAGCAAGATCAAATTATAGATGTAATAAAAGAAAATATGATAGTTGAAACTGGGAATACATATACATATATTATAAAGATTGCACATAAATTAAACACAACTGAGTTAAACAAAATTATCAGTAATCACACATTTTAAAAATAACATGGGCATGTCTCGGAATGCTGAAACAGACATGTCAGGCTCATTTTAAAAAGTTTTTAAAAACACATAAAAATACCTTTTAAAACACTGGTATGCATTCTTCATTCGTCTAGCACGTGGAGAGAGACAGTAAAGTGAGTCACACAGTGACCGTACAGCTTGTCGATCAGAACGGTAGGCTCCTAATCGCTATTTGGCATTTGAATGCAACCGCATGCAACATACAAAAACGTGACAGGAAGGACGGCGGCGTTGGTGCCGTCAACGTGGTATGGTTTGTTATGTACAATGGACCTACTTTGACCGAGGGGGAAGAAGAGGTCAGCTTTTTGGCTGGCACAGATAGGGCGGCCAGTCCCCAAGTGCCCAAAGAGACTGTTTGGACCGGAGGGGGCCTTGGACTGGGTGCAGGGGCATGGGCAGAGGCCATGAGGCTACAGTTCCCAGGCCCCCAGAAAGGCCAGTGCCTCCAAGGGACAGTGGCTTCTGCTTTGTCTCCAGAATTGGAAGGGCTACAGCAGGTGCCAGGATGCTTGCAGTGGGCACAGGAGACGGAAGAACACACACGGGGCACTTTCCCAAAGGTACCCCGGCTAAGGTTGATCTTAGTCTCCATCCAAGAGATGCCAGGTGGCCACTAAAAGGCCTGACAGATTCTAATGAGGGTTCCTAAATTAGACCCAAACCCATTCCCTGACTTTGACTTTAGTTACCTTCACCACAACTAGCCGGCTCGGTTTCCAGGGTTTGGTGCCGAATGAAAGCTTGGTTCTCTCTCTTCTCCTTCAGTCAAAGAAAGGCTCTGGACTTGGGGTTTTAACAATGAAAACATATGGGACCAGCTGGTGAGTCTTGCAAAATTCCCTCCATTTTCCTCCTCGACCCCAATGCATTCTCACTGTACTGGGAAGGAGAGAGGGATGCATTCAGCAGTGCGTGTGTAGCCCAGGGATGCGGCTGGCGGGTGGGGGTGGGGGGTGGCAGCAGTCACAAAGTTGTGCTTCTGCCCTTCCTGCTGGCACCTCCTCTTACCCTGGGGTGGGGCTCAGAGGAGCAGCGGAGGCTTGATTACGCGAGGCTACTATCCGCATGTAACCAGCCTTGGGTTTGCATTGTGCACACCAGGGACGGACACCGGATGAATAGTGCAATAGGAGGGTACAATCACTTCTCAGCGGAAATGTCAAATAAGGCCTTTATATTTCTTTTAAAAAGCAAAAACAAAAAACAAATGTACCCCAAATGCACATGTTAAATGCTTTTAGTAAGTCGGAGCAGGTGTCTTTTTTTTTTTTATATTGTGCTCATCTGCTCATCTGCTACCGTATGGCCACAGAAAGATCACTGTCCTTAAACTTTTCTACATTCATCCTCCCCCCCCCCCTTTTTTTTGCCCCACTAACCAATCCTGTCTGGCAGTGAGATCGTTATTACCCAGTGTCAAAGGTCTCAGTAGTATTTCCATTCAAAAATAAGTTAGCCTTTAGATTTAAGGATTTCTCTCTCTTTTTCTTTTATTTAAATATTGGGGAGTGGGACTTTAAAAAAAAACATATAAATCTAGATTTTAAGATTTCTTTTCTTACAAACAATCTTAGCTTTTACAAGATTTTTTTTTTTTAAATACCAAAATGCTTCTCAGAAAGTTTAAAGCATAATTGCTTGTGGTTTTCTCCCTAAGCGCGTGCTCCTTGCAGCTGTGTGAGTTGGATGTTCGGCTTTATCTGAACGTTAGGACTGGGGAGTGGTTGGTGTTGAGGCTCTAGGAGAGCTCAAGACCAGCTGGGCGGCGGGGGCAGAGTGGGAGGTGAGGGTGAGAAAGGCAGCTGGTCATCTGCGTCAAACACCCAGACAGACGGACAGCAAGGGGCTACGTGGGAGCACAGCCCGCGAGCTGGTTGCGCTGTACCCAAAGCCGTGGGCGAACCTTACCCCCGGCGCCTACATCTCCCCTCTTCTAGCCAAGGCAGCAAGGACCCAGCCTTGAGTAAACGCATGTTTAAGTCTCACTCTACAGCCACCAGCGACGCTAACGTGTTTTACACCTGCATTCAGGCTGCAGAGTCTTTGATCTTCAAAATGTAAAAATCAACCACATGAGTTGCAACAGAGGATTTCACAGAATTCCCTATTTACAGTGTATCCTCGTGAACATTTTACCTTCCACAAAATGCCACTGCTCGGGGCTGTAAAATCAGTGTCAGGAAAGAGAATTTTCAACTGATTTTTGAGTCCTTGACCGCTTTCTTAATAGCGGGCTTTGTGTTTACTCTCCTGCATAAGCACATGTTGCATACTAAGATTTTTAACATTTAGAGGTGCTGCATGTGTGAAATTCAATGATGTGATGAACCTGATGCAAAATTAAAATAATTACTGATATTAGCAGAAATATATTTTATAGGATATTACTTGACCTTAATATATTATTCCAGTTTTTAAAAGGGGTATTTAAGATTTAATGACTTTATAGCTGGTGGCCTTTAAAGCATAACAAAATATATACAAAGAAATTAGGATGGGTATTAATGTCAACTATGAAATAAATTAACATGATTTTTATAAAATATACTGACCATTAAATTAAAAAATATTTTAAGGCAGGAATTTTCATTTGAAATTAGCATAATCAGAAAATATATCAATAAAATCTTGTACCACTTTGTAGCAGAATTCATACTGTTCCTGGAAAAAAAAAAAAAGACGTTAAAGTGATATTTTTTTAAAAATCCATTAATTTAATTAGGAGAAACATTTAAAAAGAAGACATGAAACAGTGTGACCGGTTATAACATTTACTTTTTTGGCACTTCCAAATAAAGCTGGATTTTTGTTGTTTTTGTTATTGTTATATTTTAAGATTTTATTTATTTGAGAGAGAGAGAGAAAGTGAGAGAGCGAGCAGGGTGGGGAGGGGCAGAGGGAGAGAATCTCAAGCAGTCTCCCCACTGAGCGCAGAGCCCGTCTCAGGACTTGATCCCAGGACCCTAAGATCATGGCCTGAGCCGAAACCAAGAGTCGGATGCTCGACCGACTGAGCCACCCAGGTGCCCCTAAAGCTGTTGTTTTATATAGAAAATGTCAATGTTTAGTTTCAACTTGGCATATTTTAGGGTAGTCTGAGTAAAAGGCCTTCAGTTTTCATATTTAAACTGGAAAACAGGTATTTTTGAAATGACAATGAGAAAAGTCAGAATACTGAACTTCAGATAAACTTCACAATGAACAAACAAGTAATCTATGGAAGTTTAGAAAGATGAACCTCTAGGCTATTTTTAAACCTAAGTTTACTCTAAAAAGGGGACATTGTTTTATATAAATTTTACTAGAATTCAGAAGAATATTGCCTTCTCTCTGTCTAAGGCATTTAACTCATTAAAGCATGGCTGCACATCATCTGACTCTTGTCCTCCTCGGGGATCTTGGAGGGGGTAAGGCTGGGAGCCAGGGCAGTGGGTGGATAGAGGGGCGGCCACACGGGGCCTACGGTGTCGCCAATAGTGGGCACTCCATGGGAAGACACGTAAAAGATGGAGCCAACGGCAGTTGCCAGAGATTTTGGAAAACTGTGTGCATGACGATCAATGGGCAGATGGGGAGTGGACCCCGAAGTTTTGAGTAACAACAGACGGCAGCTAACCTGCCTCTCAAGTAACAGGGTCTGGTTACTTGCAGACCCTAGACATCACTGGCTGAGTCATGGCAATGGCAGTTGGGCCCTCAAGTGAGGGGTCTGGGAAGCCAGAGAAACCCAGTGTGGCCGCCAGCCCCTCCCGGCTTCTCTCCCAGTATTTGGAAGGTACTTCAGCCACATGTCAAAGTGGTTCCAATCAGGCAGGAGGTGGAGACGCCATTAATCACTCTCTGTTTTAGCAGGAAACACAAGAGCAAACCACGACCCAGCCACACTGTGTCTTGAGTCCAAGTCACTGGTGGCCAGGGATCAATGGCATGTATTTTGGCAATTTATTGGGATGACATGGGCCACACCTCAGGTCACAGACATTTCCGATCAAGGCACAAAGCTCCCAGGAAACAAAACAAAACAAAAAACCACACACACTTTTAGCCTTGGAATGCCAGTTGCCCTAAAGCCTATCTCAGGAGTCTTGCAGAGTGGCCAGCAATTTGCTGACTTTCAAAGTCAGGTTATAAACCCTCTGTTAAACGGTGTCACCGGAACAGAGAGCACAGACACGGGCTAAATGACAGCCACGGGCAGCTTCCCAGGGAGGGGTCCGGCGAGAGGCGGCAGTGGGAAGAGCAGAGCTGAGTCAGGGGGCGTTCGGATGGAGAGGCTCTTGGAGATAGGATACATGGGCCAGACCAGATGAATTTATGAGAGCTGAGGTCCCTTCAAAACCAAGGAAGTGTTTGTATGCTGAGCCAGACAAGGGCGCCTCCCTGGCCAGGCACTCGTGGGGCCACTGACGGACATACATAAAGCCAATGTGCACATCGACTAAAGGCAGGGGCCATCACCCCATTTTCCACAGATAAGGAACTAAAGTCCAGAAAGTGGAAGGAGCTTGTTCGAGGTTGCAGAGCCATGATGGGGGCCAGCCATGCATTTGGGATGACAGCCCGAAGCCCGAGCATCAAAGGAACGCCATGGCTTAGCTTTTATATTTAACCGGGGGCAGGACAAAAGCTACAACCGCTACCTGGGGAAGCCTGTAGTGGACTTAAGAACAGTCAGGAAAGGAGCTGAGAGAGTCTGGCTCAGAATTAAAAAAGGAATTTTTTTGGAGGGTGTTCCTATTCATTATTATTATTTTGATCTAGAAAATCCCCCATGGAGGGGTCTGCCTCTGTGTTTTCCATGCCCAAAGTCATTCACGTTTGTGATGCCCCTAGGAGGTATTAGCTATCGGGAGGCAGGCATGACTTTTAGAAGGACCTCTCTAGCATCTTCCAGAGGTCTAGCAAGAAGGACTGCCTGTGCTGGGATGAGGGCCATCTCCTTTCTGCTCTCAGTCACGGCCCGGGCCCAAGAGGGGCACGTGGGGCAAGGTGTGTGGGGAGCCAGCAGGCACCCTGTTTCCTTTACTCATAGTGGTTCTCAAACCTGTCTGCACTTTGGGACCACAGGGAGGGCTTTAAATATGTCAATGCCTGCCTGGGTCCCACCCCCAGAAAGCTTAAGGGCAGCTGGCAATGGAGGAATATGAACTCTCTCCAGGCCCGGCTAGTGTGCCGTCGGGGTGAGATCCGTGCTCCCGCCCAGCCTGGGGGCGGGAGGCGAACCCCGCTGCACTCCGGTGGTTCTAGCAGTTGGGCTTCCCCTGCGATGGGAAGGTTGTGGAAGGCTCTCCTGCCACCTTCTATACTTGCTGGAGTCGGGATCCTGTTAGCCATGCAGAGTGAGTGGACAGGGAGGGCAAATGTAAAAACAGGAAGACCGGAGAGAAATGATGGGTTATAACAGTTTCTGAAATCGCACTTATTGGGGTAGAACAATCACCACGGTTGCGAGGAGGCACGCCTTCTGCAAACCAGAAAGTGTGTGGATCTGTCACAGGATGAAAGAGAACGGCGCCAGAATATGGTGGAAGAGTCACTTGGACACAGAAAGTTGGTATCATCAGTGCATCTGTCCAAGGGGTCTCACAGTCTAAAGCCACGAGTGTGCCCCTCCTCCCGTGTCCTGCCCAGGGGACAGTCCCCAGCAGAGACAAGGAAGGAAGGGGGTCCATAGAGCTTCACTGCAAAGAGTACCATGAGCTCTTTCCCTTGGGAAGCTCACCCTCCTCCCTCCCCACACACTCGAGCTCCTTGAATGAAACAGACACCAAATTCAATGTAAGACAATTCTTGACCCTTCCAGAAATGTCCCCATGGCTCCATTTCTTACCAGGGTTTGCACCATATGTGGTCTCTGAAGTCGCAAACTCTTCACAGCTTGGAATACGTCTAAAAGGCCCTCGGCTTTTACTCGTTCCAGAATGTTGCTGAGCGCTATGAATGTACCTGTTCGCCCGGCTCCAGCACTGGGGAGGAAAAGTGCTTAATGCAGATAACCAAACGCACCCGTGGGGATGAGAAAGGGACAGCCCACAGCTCAGCTCTACACATCAGCGCAAAGCCATCATCACTGAAAGTGATCAAAGTTTGGGTTTCTAATGATCATCTATACTGAGCGAGAGTCAGCAAACATGAAATTCCTAAAACACTTGTCCAGTTACAGCAGAAGGGTATCTCTTGAGTTGGATCGAGACCGGTTACAAACTTTCAAGCTAGGGCAACCATGTTCCCCCCGCCTGGTGTAGACCGCTGGTTCTCAGAGTGTGGTCCCCAGGACCAGCAGCATCAGCATCGCCTGGGGACTTGTCAGAAATGCAGACCCTCCTGGTTTGGGACTAGGGAGAGGTCATCTCTGTCTAGACTCTCCTTCTGTGCGAGGGACCGCCTTCTGAGAGGTGCTGGTTCATAAGGTGTGAGGTTAAGACAGGGGGCAGTCACTGCCAGTAAAGACTAGATAAGGGACACCTCCCAGCAAAGAAGATCTGGGTCCACTTCCCTTAAGAGGATCATTTTCTTGATACACTGGATAAACCCTACAAGAGCAGAGCTCAGACACCCTCAGGAGAGCCAAGCAACCAGGCCTAAAGTGGGCAGGTCTGGCTGGCTTCTTCCAGAAAGCCCTCCAGGCCCAGAGGCCTGAGGGTGGGCTGATTCTAAGGCTCCTGACCTATTTCAACGACTGTCCCCACATCTGCCCTTGTGGGACTTTGTTCACCTTTGACTCCCTGGTGCCCTCCGTGTGCTAAACTCCGTCTGGGTCTGTGGAGGCAGAACACAGAGGAACTCTTTCTAGTTTATTCCAAATGACTCCTACAAAGCCCCCCCAGGAACTGAAAACCGAGGCCGGTGCTCCACCTGCTGGCCAGGCCCGAAGTGCGCCGAGGCCGGTCCCAGGCAAAGAGTTCCAAACCCTCCAAGGTCAGCTGAGGCCCTGGCAGCTCTAAGGGGTGGGTGGGGCGGGGCCAGTGGCAGTCACAACAAACAGTGCAAGTCACGTGTGGAAGAAGAAATAGAAGTGCAGCTTCAGAAGCAGATGAGCACCCCGAGAATGAAAATACCCCAAACTCCTGCTAGGGAGAGCTTTGGGATGGCGGCCGGCCAGGGGTTGGAGTGACCAGAGCTGAGTCAGCGCGGAAGGGCCCTGAGTTGGCAGGTCTTTACATTTGGCCAGATTCACCCTTTCACCCTTGCAACACTGCTTATCAAGGTCCTTGCTGGGGATGCCCCACTGCCCCCAGGCATTCCGCACCGAGCACGTCCCTCCATTGGCCTCCCTGGCGCCTGACTTGGGAGCTGGGCTGAGAGGCTTGGGGCCGGAGTGGGGCTGCAGGCCTCTGGTAGCAGTCCCAGCCTGGACATCCTCGGGGGCCTCCAGAAAGTCTGTCTGCCGTGAGGATGTGCTGTAGCATGACTTGGATCCCCGAGGACCCGGGGAGAGGATAGGGAGGGGTGGGCACATCTGCCAGGGCCAGAACCACCCATGCAAGCCGTTGAAGTTCGGGAGTGGGTCTGTCTGACCCGTGCTCAGCAGGTTTTTGGAGGACTTCAAAAGCCTCGTGGAGATGTGTTTGGGTCACTTCCTTGCTCCTCCTCCCACAACGTCTCCTGCATGTATCTAAGATGACATTTACGCACGTAAAGCTAGCTGTGCAAGGGAAAGTTAAAAGTAGAGTCTAGGGAAATGCCGCGGCTGGGAGAAGCACCCTGGGCGCGGGGTCTGCATCTACCCCACCAGGAGGGGCGCCCCGGGCCCTGGGCCGCTCACCTGCAGTGCACGGTGATGGGGTGGTTGCCCGTCTGTTGTTGCTGCTTCTGCACGGCTGCGATGAGGTCGATCATGCCTTTGCCCTCGGCCGGAATCCCGACCTCGGGCCAGCCATGGAAGTGGAACTGGCGGACCATGCGGGTCTGCTCCTCCTGGTGGGCCAGGGGCTGCAGGCAGGAGAGGGCATTTCTGCTCACACAACCCCGACCACCCAGGACCAGGCCCAAGCCCACCCACCCTCCCGCGAACCAGGGCCCAGGCTCGGGCTCCTCCTGGGGCCTTCACAGCCAGCACAGTCCCCGTGTGGCTGGCCTGAGGGTCCTGGCCAGGCTGTCTGTGGGCCGTGTGCACCCCAGAGCGGAAGGCGGCAGAATTTCCTTCTGAGGGGGAAGCAGGATATGCAGGGGATGGTCCCCGGAGCCCCTGGCAGGGCCCGCCGGACACATGAGGGATCCTGGCAGCTTCGCTGAGAGAACAGGAGCGTCTCCTTCTTAAGAAGCCAGGACCCCTCATGCCCCCCAGAGGCTCTGAAAAAGTCTGGAGAGGCCTCTGTGGCTTCATCCACACGCCTTCTTCCTCCCGCCCCCTCCCCCGCCGCTGCCACTTCTCCTGAGCGGGGTGTTGGTGGCCGTGGAATGCCTCTTGGAGTCGGTCACTCCGCTCCCCCACCCTCGTGCTCCAGCAAGGAGACACGTGACCACGGAGGTCCGGACGGTAGAGGAGATCTGCCCCTTGATAACACGGCTCCCTGTTCACCGCACTGACCGCGGATACGAACGCACCAGTTCGAAAAGGCTGGAGGAACGGGACATCCCGGACAATCGCAAGCAGACCCTGAGGGGCGCTGCGGGGCCTTCTGTCTACGGGAGCGTCCAGCGCTCTGGCGACAATACCTGCTTGAAGGTGACCAGGAAGTCCCGCATGCTGATGGCTTCCGAAAGCGTGTCGCTTTTTATCTCGACTGTTATCTCGCCATGAGTCACTGAGCCCTCTGCCGGCCAGTACTGGAAGCATTTATCCTTGGGGCATAAGATAAAATTTTAAGTCTCCCAGGAGATAATCTGCTGGTAGCGGTTTGACGGTAGGAGGCAGGCTTGCTCTCAAACCATTTAGCGTATTTCATGTGACCGAGTCGATCGCTTACGAATGTGAGTATGAAGGCCCGTTAATACCTGCTGACCGAGGGAATCCAGAAACAGACAGGTGTATTTGGAACTCTGACACAGGAAGAGATTATTCAATCAATGGGGCTGGAAAACTTGGCTTTCCATATAGGAAAAGGGCTGGGTCCCTGACTCACCCTGCCAGGGCTGATAGGAACGGTCCAGCCCTCCTGGAGTTGGGCAGTGCACAACCTGCACTACCATACACGGTAGCTTCGAATCTTCGTAAAAGTAAACCCAGACAGGTTAAGACTTAAAGTCAAAAACAAAACTGTGAAAGCCTTAGAAGAAAATGTCTTTTCTTCTGGGGGTACAGAAGGACTTACTAAAAAACAAGACCTCAAAAGAGCCAACCACCCACGACACAAAGATTGTGACATCAGATTAGAACACAATGAACTTCCCTTCATCAACAAACATGGTCGAGAGAGTGAAAAGACATGCCAGCAGCTGTGACAAGATATCTGCAGTACATGCAACCCACAAAGGATTAGTATCAAGAATATGTAAAGAATTCTTACAAGTCAATATGAAAAGAATAAGCAACTCACTAGGAAAATGGGGGAAAGATATGGCCAGGCATCTTGCACGGAGGGACATGGCATCTATAAATATATGAAGTGATGCTTGACCTCAGAGGAATCAGAGGGATGCCAATCAGAGCCTCGAAGGGATGATGTACATGTGCGTCTAGTCAATCAGCAGACATGAGGATCCCTAACAACACTAGGGATGCCAATGAATGATCTCTCTCCTCCACTGCCAGGGTCCACTTGGAAAACGTAACCACTCTGCAACACAGTTAGGAGCTATCTGTCAATTCAAACCGTCACACGCTCTCCAACATAGCATTCTGTCTCTTTGGAACAGGCTCTTCCCTGTGCAGCATCAGACCCGTAGGAGAATGTGCCAGTTTGTGAAATAATAAAATGGAATCAACCCAAATGCCCACAACACAACAAGGGACAAATAAACAGATGCAGGATATATGGTATGTGCGGTGGGACACAATGAAATACCGATGAATGAACCACAGCTACAGGCATCAAGAGTATCAGAAGCATCCCTCGGAGTGGAAAAAGCAAGTCCCAGAAGAATATGTACCGTAACGACACCCTTTATATGAAGTTCGAAAGCGAGCAAAACTGAGCAGTAGCTTCTTTAGACATACACATATAGGATATAAAAACATTTCTGAAAAAGCCAAGACCACGTCCACTAAGATGGTTTTAAAAAGACCAGTGGTGGGGCACCTGGGTGGCTCAGTCGGTTAAGCATCTGCCTTCAGCTCGGGTCATGATCCCGGGGTCCTGGGATCGAGCCCCGCATCGGGCTCCCTGCTCAGCAGGGAGTCTGCTTCTCCCTCTCCCTCTACCACTCCTCCTGTTCTCTCTCTCTCTCTCAAATAAATTAAAAAAAAAAAAACCTGTAAAATAATAAAAAGACCAGTAGTAATAAGTGTCGGTGGAGAAACTGGAACCCCTATACCCTCTGCTGGGAGTATAAAACGGGGCAGCTGCTTTGGACATTCTTCCAAATGTCCAGCCCTATGAGTTCGTGAGACAGAGTTACGGTGTGGCCCAGCAATTCCGCCCCGAGGTGTCTACCCAAGAGAAATGAAAACACAGCCACATAAGAACTCGAACATGGACGTTTCCAACATAATTCATAATAGCCCCAGAGTGAAAACAACCCAAATATCCATCAACGGATGAATGGTAAACAAATGTGGTATGTCCATACAATGGAATACTAGTTGTCAAGAAAAAAAGAACCTATGCTTGATACAACACAGTTAAAACTTGAAAAAATGCTAAGTAAAAGAACTCAATCACAAAAGACATGTTGCATGATCTCATTTACACGAAATATCTAGAACAGGCAAACCCATAGAGGCAGAAAGTAGATTAGTGGTTGCAGATGAGGAAGGAATAGGGACTGGCTACTCATGGGTATGGGGTTTCTTTTGAGAACAACCGAGCCCCGTTTGATTTAACAGGAGAGGGGTGATGGAAATTATCTGGAATTAAATAGTGGTGATATCTCACAACTCTAAAAATGCTAAAAATTGCTGACTTGCACCCTTTAAAAATATGGATGGAATGGTATGTGAATTACATCTCAATATGTGTTTTTTAAAAAGCAAAGAAATCAAGACACAGATCCAGGGTAGTGGTTCTATCTTGGGAGAGCACTCAGATAGGTGTGCATTACTGGTAAAAGTCTGGTTTTTCAGTTGGAGAGTGGGCTCATGAGTACTTATTATGTTGTTAAATAAATACAGTACAAAAAGGCCCTCGATGGATCTCTGGGGACAGGAAAACATTGATTCATTCAGTTCAACCAGGACAGCATCCGTAAGGTGCACATATCAATGCCCACGTCCTTATGTCTTGAAGAAAGTGAGTAAATGTTTTGTTCCACAGGTTTTGATCAAATTTGCATTTGTGGGAAATTCAAAATGGTAGACCTACAAGGCTGGTTAAATAAAATGTCGGCTAAAAACAAAAGCCAGTGTGGGTGGTCAGGGCTAAGCAAATGGAACTTTTTTTCATTTCCATCCTCTCTCCCTCCCCAGCCACTGTGGCCTGGGCTCAGCAGCTGACCGCGGGTGGGCCATTCACAGGGGACCGCCAGGGTCTTGCAGGCGGGCTGGGCTGCCAGGGGTGCACACTGCCCCCCGAGGGCCCGGGCCGGCCACGAGAACTGCTGACCTGTTCTCTCTCCTGGACCTCCGTCAGCATTACGACCGTGTGGCACTTCCACTCCCACACCATCCTCCAGAAGTCCTCCACCGTGTGCGCCAGGGGCCCCTGGGTGGCGATGAAATAGTCCTTCTGTCGGTAGCCCTTCAAACCGGGAACAGGGGTTAGAGTCTGACCTCCCCTCATGCTGGTTCCTGCGCAGCCGCAGGGCTTTAGGAGAGCCCAGGGCCTAAGCACGGAAAACGTTCTCCAGCTTCCCAGGCCGCGCCGAGCCCCAGCTGACAGGCATGCACAAGTGCGCTCTGCGATGGGTCAGGACACCCACTCTCTCTGCAACCGAATCACCTCCCCTGCAGCACCTGGGGTCACCTCTCTGAGTGGGTATCTAGAGCCAAGCTCCCCCCGGCCACCTGCGAAAGCACCCTTGCCTCTGCTCTCACATCTTCCTGCGTTGTGGATCAGTTAGCATCACGGTGGTGGACTGGGTGTGGACTTAAGAGGAAATGGGTTCAAGTCCAGTTCCTCCACGCAGCCCAAGGGACCTTTGGCACAGTTTTCTCATCTGCAAAGCGGAGTTCTGACGCAGACTCAGCCGCCACATCCTTCCCCACCCGTTCCTCAGCTAACCCCACTGTGCGTGGAGACCCCTGGTGACCTGAACACACAACCACGTTGTCCACGTGGAGTGGGTCGCAGACAGTGCGGGACAGAGAGCCATGCAAGCACCCATGGGTGACCAGTGCGTATTAGGGATATAACAGAAAAATTGCTGTGTCTTAAAAACAGAATGAAACTAGCAATTACTTAGCAGTGCGCCTATGGTCTCTATTCCCAAAATTCGTTATTCTTTTTTTTTTTTTTTCATGCAAGTAATTCTGCTAATGGAATGATTTGGATTTCAGGATTCCTTCCTGATTGTGAAAAGGAGTTAATTAAGAGTCCCTGTGATCACAGGCGAAGGAAACCGGCTGCATCTTCGCAAAGCACGTCCAGGTCCACTGTACTTACATCTATAAAGGAGGCGTTGATGTAGTCTGTGTATTCTTGACCCCTTTTCATGGAAAGGATCACCCGGTTGAAGTCATCTGCAAAGCAGGATGTCCCTTCAGTTAGGACACACTCCAGTCCTGCCTTGCAAACTTCAATGTATTGCTACAAGCTTCCAAAGTATAAAACTTATTAATAAAATCGCTACCTCAAGCCAAGTCCCTGGAAGGTTTACTCTATAAAATAGGTTAATTAAATTGGCCCAGAAAATTGTGTTTTGGTAGGAAAGCTCTGAAAGTATTCTAGTTATCATTGCCATTTGTCATGAATTGAGGTAATTCATACCACGATAGGAGAATTAAAAGTATCGCATTTCAGGAATGAGAGGAGTGTGGCCAGGCAGGCGGCCTGGGGTGGCGGCCACAGTCGCCAAGAAACCGGGCTCTGAGGCTGAGGCAGGCTTCACCCAGCCCTCACGCACTTGGATGCTCGGTGGCCACTAATGCGTGTCAGGAGCCCGGGGTCCACCTCCTCAAGGCGGCACCCTCTCCCTTCCTTTCCTGTGGTTCCTCTGACCCCTGTGGAGTTCCTTTCTTCCCTCCTCAACAAACAAATGTGAGCACTCCGTCCTCCCCCTTATCCGGGACCTCAGCAGTCTAGGGTCCTGACTGCACCCCTGCCCGCTTCCCACCTCCCTAAGGCCTGGAGCAGGGTCCCTCCTCCATGTACAGACTTAGGGGATGATTGGATGAGACCGGAATTGGGCAGCCCCAGACTCATGACCAAAGCAAATCTCGCCACTTCCAGGAAGTCCTCCCTCTCCCGCCATCTACGTCTCATATCACAAGCCGCCCGCCTGACACCCAGGACTGTCTGGGTCACCTGTCCTTGCTTCACAGGTGGGTGTTCTCTTCCCAACACTCGCCATCGCCCCCAGGAGCCCTTAACCCCAGGCCCAGAGGGTGTCCTGCCCTTGGGCCCTGGCTCGCAGAGGTGGGTCGTCATACACTTTCACAGGGTGCCGACCCCGATCCCATCCTGCTATGAGGGTTTAAATTCCCCCGGGCGGCCGTGGGGCTGCCTTACACGGGATGATCTGGATGACCCTGGCCTTCTTCATATTCGCCGGCAGGTTGCCCGTCCTCATGTTCTCCTTCATGATCCGGACATTGGTCAGTTTCTGCAGTCAAGAAAGACATAATCATGCAGTCACAACACCGACGCTCCTGAGCGAATCCCTCAACCCTGTAACAGCACCACTGTAAAGGGCACCCGTTAATCTCTTTCTCTACCTCCAGACATTTTCTGAATCTTCCAAAATAAAACTATGTGCATGACACACTCCCCCACGCGGTTGCTGCTCAGCTCTCAAAGTCCCTGATTATTCTTCCGCCTGCATCACGGGTGGGGTAGCCACCCTGCTTTTTCTGGGGTCCATCCGGAGGGGCAGTGACCGAAAGTGGCTTCCTTTAACCAGCCACCCGTCTTCCCGTACAGTCCGTTCACACGCACCCGGAACTCCTCCTCCAGCCCGATCTTGTCGAAGTGGGTGGCAGTGCTATGCAGCGTCTGCAGGTGCTTTTCCAGGGAGGACACATCCAGCTCGGTGTCCCCGTAGAGGTAGTGCTCCAGCAAGGCTTGGTAGATGAACGTGTACTGCATCTGCAGGAGACCCAGAGCACCCAGCACCCTCGCGTGTGCCCGCAGCCTCTGGTCGCTCGGAGCGCAGCAGCTCCACGGGCCTTGCTCTTCCCCATGTTTTGCCCAGGGAAGGAGGTGTGGGGGCAAAAGTCAGATTGACAGCCGTGTATAATGACCATTTATGGCGTCAAGGAAGGAGAGTAGGACAGCCGGCATTACTGGGCACACGTCGTCCCTGCCAGGCACTTTGTGCACACACCGTGTGGGGGACAGTCACGTGGTCTGGGGGGTGGCAAAGGGGTCTGGGTTTGCTCTGCGCAGCTCACACCAGGGTGAGGGGCGGGGCCCGGGGAAGGCACTACTCACATCCGTTTGAACCATCTGAGGGCGCTGGTTGCGAATTCTGGACACAAACTCAAAGACATCGACCTTCTGCTCGGCGTGCATCATGTCCATCATGGCATCGATCACTACGAAGGTGCCCGTCCGGCCCACGCCGGCACTTCAAGGAAAAGGAAAGATGCCCCGTCATGAGGCACACAGCACCCCACGCCCGCCCGAAGTAAATGACAGGACTGCAGAGCTGACCTGTGCACCAGGACAGAAGGACACCCTCTCCCCTCCACCGGGAGAGTCCAACCCATCCCTCAAAACAGCCTTTCCTCCGTTAATAAAGAGCAAATCTCCGGTGAGGCCACCAGAGGGCACCATAATCTCAGTGAAATTATCTCCGATTGTTCTCTAATAACTATGGAAACTGTTGAAAGGCTCATCAAAAAGATCTGTTGTACTAGCCTTGTGTGAGGTTGTGTGAGTCATCTTCTTCTGTTACCAAATGCTATCTTGCGATCACGTGTGCAAGTGGATTTTTTTGAAATGTCACGCTTGAAATGGCTTTTCCAGGTTCTTTATAAAAAGGAGGCTCCCAGGCTAGGTCTGCTGGCTCTTGAGCCAAGGTCAGCCGAAGGAGAGGCACCAGCTGGAGCTCACTGGCGCTGGCTCAAGCTAGCTGGTCCCCAGGGTCTCCACTGACTGGTCTCCTGGCTAGGAAGCTGCCCGGCTGGATTCTTGGGTTTGGGTTTCCTGCCCTCCCAACGCACACCCCACAGTACCTCCGGGACCTCGGTCCCGCCCTCCACCACCTGCTGTCCCAGGTGCCAGGTGGATCTCCACCAGGCAGTGGGGCCGTGCATATTTGTTCCCCAGCATCCAGGACAGAGCGGGTACACAGTAGCGCTCGGCCAACATTCGCTGAACGAGTAAGCCCCTCATGACGCGGACTCGTGTGTGCAGCTTCTCTCATCAGAACGGGGCTGCCCCCTCCAGTCCCTGCAGCGTCAGCCTCTTTGACAAAAGGAAAGTAACCTCTTTGACAAAAAGACTCACAACTTAATGAGTGACGTCCCCCTACTTTCCTCTTTGTGGGGTTAGGTGAGAGATCCTGCTCTTGCCAGTTAGTCTCCAAAACAGAGCTAGGACAGCAGGGAAGACCCTCTTCCGGGGCGGATCCCGTCATCTCAGGGGGAAAAGCAGGTCAAACACGAGAGGCCCTTTGAGGAGTCTTAGTGCTTTACAGGTACAGAATCAGAGACTATCATCTGGTGCAAAGCCACGTGAGACACCCCGCCCAATACGTATGTGATGGAGGCCACAAAATCACCAAGTGCAAGGCCATCAAGGTCCCCAGGCCGCTTACAGGACCCCTCGCCTGGCCCGGGGTGCATGTGGGAGAGCCCGCTTCGCCGCTGGGAAAGGGACCACGCCGGCCCCCCAGGAAAAGGCTGAGGCCAGGAGGTCCTTCCGCTGGCCTCCATGGGGATGCTGTTCCTAAGAGGACTTGGGCAGGGAATGTCGGTTCCTTTTAAGTGATTAAGAGTGAAACGCTGAGGATGAGTGTGTCAGTAGGGATGGAAACCAGGAAGCCAAAACCCAGGGCACACAGCTTGGAGCTGAGGAGCTGTCTTCAGGTGATGATGAACTTGGAGGTGGGACGTGAAGTCAACTCCACCCTGAGTCTCGGCAGGGCGGGGGCTGCCAGTCAGCATGAGCCTTCTCCCCCACCTGGCTGGCTTCCGGCAGGCCCATGCTCTTGGCAGGAATTCCTGTCACCACATGACCATGATCAGGCGGGTGCCCAGAACCGCCCATCTGCCCACACCGGCCGGGGCGGCTCACAGGGGCCTGAGCTCAGGAGGGGAAGGAAGGATGCACCAGGGAGGAGAAGGGCTTTGGGAAGTCTGAGAAGGAGGGTACTACTCCTCCCACTTCCCGGATATTAAAACCCCGGTGGCCAAAGGGAACATAAAAGAAGGCCAGAGCGTCCAGGAGTGGCAAGAGCAGTGCTGAAGTAAAACACTGCCACAGGGAGACAAGTGCATGTTCAACAGCAGAGGCAGAGACTCATGGCCACGGAGCGGGGCCTGGCATGAAAATAAGATAAATGACAAATGCACCTGTCCTGGGCCCCTGCCCTGGGGCAGGGGTCATTCCCTAAGGTTTCCCATGCACGACAGATCTGGAGGAATCAGGACAAAGCAGGACCGAGCCTGCTCCCGCCCCTGCAGCCACCCCTGACCCAAACACAGAGGCTGTTTCTATAACTATCTCCGCCCCACCCCATCCAGAGCTAAGCGGCCGGTCAGCACCAGAAGCCTGAATCGGGAAGAGGCAGCGGCCGGAAGAGTCTTGTAGGGCCCCTCCTGCCGCAACTTCTCCAGCTGAGAGCATCGGACTCTGGGTTCTGAAGACAGGCCACCGAAGTCCCCAGGGTCTCCGCTGCAGCAGGCCCCGGATCTCTGATGGGCCCGCGGAAATCCCCGTGAGGGGACCCCAGCCTTTCCATCCAGGCCTGCCGCCACCTCGCGGAGGGAGGGCCCTGCTCACTGGGCTGTCAGCCTGACTACGCGTGTTTTTGGCCATTGCAGACAGCTTTGTTGGCAGTATCCTGGCACTGCCAAAGGACAAAAGGGACAGGGGGCAGAGGGCACAGGTACACAGTGATCCAGATGCTCTGAATCCAGCACACAGGTGTTTGCAAGAAGCAACACGGAGACTCTGGCTTCCAGGAAGCTAGGCAAGAACAGGAGAGGCCGACAAGACCCCCCAGCTGGGGCCGAGCAGGACCGGCCTGCACTGCTCCGCGCCCCAGTACAGTTGCTGGGAGGAGCTTGTCCAGCCGGCCCCAGCAATCCTACAGATGCCACCTCACTTAATGCCCAGTTGATCAGCTCCCAAGGGGCAGGTCCAGGACTCCATCCCTGGCCAGGATGACAAGGGCCTCCCCTCTGGCCCCTGAACTGTCGTCAGGTTCCAACCGAGCACCCACCGGTAGGATGGGGAGTGTGGCAACCGACAACTCCTCATCTTTCCGCCCTTGTCTTCAAAAACAGAATGGGCACAAGCCAGTCAACCAACTGCAAGTCCAAGGCCTCTTCTCGGACATGACCTTCTGCACCAGAAGCCAAACTGGGCATGGAGATATAAGCCACAGAGGGGGATAATTTGGGCCCTCCTCTAAGGCTCCATGAGCTCTAGAGGAAATGAAAGCTCAGTGTGAAAACAACCATGGGACACCGAGGTACGCAAAGACAGAGGGCACTTGTTCGGGGTGCTCACTTTCGGAAGCTGCTTTTCCACAACGCAAGGAATAATCACAGTGCTGACAGCTTACGCCGCTGTAGTACTTAGTTTTGTGCAAAGCTCAACCCCAGGGACGAGTCCCAGACCCCTCCAGGCTTGTCCCTCCCAATGCAGAGGAGGAGAACGCAGCTGGGAGGAGAAGGGGCAGCCTGGACCACAGACCCAGGCCTTCAGGACGCCCGGCCCTGGACGGCGGCTCCTGGCCCCTAATCACTGTGCCTGAACCATGGCCCCCAGCCCCTCTGAGCCCCGTGCACTCTTGTATCAAGACTGGGGGCTCCCCATAGAAGTGTGGTTTCCAGCTCTATCCTCAGAGGTGACTTGGGGGTCTCCGGGAGTGGCGGAGGGCAGGTCAAGAGAATGTACCCAGAGCCCCACTAGCTCTATCTACATGCCCTCTTGGCTTTTGTCTGTTTTAGATACTGGGCTTGCCCTTCAGATGCCATTGAAGAAAGGGTTCTGCTCTCACAGAGTGGGCTGCATGTCCCTCCGGCTCTCACCCCGAGGGAGTCTCTGAGGTGTCACTTGTGTTCCCAGTGGGCAGGGGGTGCTTTCACTTCTCCCCGCCTGTCCTTCCGCCCACCCCGATACCGGCCCACGTGTCATCCCCCACGATGGCCCAGTCCTCGGGGGGCCCTGCCCCACGGCCCCACCCGGACATACCTACAGTGGACCACTATGGGCCCGGCGTGGGCAGGGTTGAGGGCCTTCACTTTCTTCAGGAACTTCAGCATCCCGATGGGGGTGAAAGGCACCCCGAAGTCCGGCCAGCTGGTGAAGTGCAGCTGGGAGATGAGCCGTGGGGCTTTGCAGCCATCGGGGAGCTGCTGCGGGGGACAGGCAGAGACACGAGTTGGGGCACGGCGCCTCCCCTCTCCCCGAACATCACTTTCTGAGGATGCTCACTCCCCGCCCCCTACACACCCGCCATCCAGGCCCAGGGCAGCCAGACACCTCCCCGAAGCTGGCCCTCGGGCTCACGAACCCCACAGGTGAGCAGGGCGGCCACGTCCAGTCGGCCTGACAGCCCCACTTCATGCCTGTGTAATTACCAGCAGCATGCCCTTCCACTCCCCAGAGTGTCTCAGTTTTGAGGGAAAAGATGATGTGGCTGGCGGGCCCACCCGCGGCCCATGAGCGCGGCTCTCTGCCCCAGATCACGGAAGGCTAGGTAGGGTCTATGCAGGTGCACGTGTGCGTGTGGGTGTGACTGCGAGACACAAGCAGGGGACAGGAAAAATGATAAAGCTCATCCTCTTCCCTTCTTTGCTGCGGCTTCTACAGACTCCCGGTTTCACAGCTAACGACGTCAACCCCTCTACCTCTGATTCCTGATACCAGGACTTTCTGTTTTTCCCATTTTTTTTTAGTATTTCTTAAATCTCTATTTCATCCGCTTTGTACACAGGCATCCATACTGAAGAATACCTTGCATTCTTTTAGGCAGGGACGGGGCGGGGACAAGCAGGAAATAAGTATGACAAATACTGAGGAGGTTACAGAAATATTTTGAGACTGTTAAAAAATCCCACCTCACCACTTCGGTGTGTGAAATGACATCATGCCACTGGGGGAGAACCCCCACTCCGGGGCCCCTTCCTACAAGTGACTCAACTTCCTCCACCCAAAAATGGTGAGGAGGGCCCGGGAGCATCCAGAGCTGTCTGCAGACTCCTGTGCACCCGTCTCTTCCTCTGTAAATTCACATCTTCAGTCCACTAAGCCCGAACCCATCCCTGCCTGGCTCTTGGTCCTCCACAGTCCCCTCTCAGAGAGAGTTGCTATAGTATAGCACGGGGGAGGGAGGGACGAAGCTTTTCATATGAAAAAAATCAGATGTATATTTACTCTTCACACTGCTCTCTTGGAGGATCACCTTTCCAGAAAGCCAATAACTGAAAATGCTTACGGACTGTATGCAGAATTTCCGGATGGTGTAATCTACCAGAACCACGCAGTCCTCCACGCACACACGGATGTTTCCATAGGTCCAGCATCCCTGGTCCGGCCAATACTGGGAGCACTTCTCCTACATGGGATGGTTGCACAGAGATAGCTAGGTCTGGGGGTGCTTTGTTGGGCACATCAGTGCCCCCGGCCCCACCATGGGCACATACCGGGTTCCCTCAGACAGTTCCTGGAGCTGGGAGAGGGCTGAGAAAGCGGAGCCACACAACTCATGGGGGGCAGCCCTGAGTTTATACCCAGGCCCCATTCTGATTTGGACACCAAGGGTGAGTGAGGCTCGCACAGAGAACAGTGTGTTTCCCAAACACTTCCCGCTGGACCTGGATGTCTTTTCCTTGCTCAGGACAAAGCTGGCTGGTCCAATGTTGAAGAGTGGTCAGCTCCCCACTGCTCTCCACCTAGGACGAGGCTGATGTGGGGATCTGCAGGGGACGGCCGCATTGCTACACAGAGACCCATCTCTTTACCTGCCCTCCCTCTGAGCTACCAGTGGCAACACGTGGGGACGGTGCACCTGCAGCCTAAGGGGAAAGAGGCCTCCGTGAGCACAGGGCACAGGAGTGTGTGAGGACCACCCAGCATTTGCCTTAGGATGCCTTCCTAACGGGACAACGTACCCTCCCTCCTCCAGGACATCTCTGAAACACCCTGAGGAGAATCAAATGCTCAAAGGTGCTGGGTTGGGCCATTCCTGGCCTCCTGGGGACCCTCCAGGACCCCTGAGATGCTCCCCTTGAAAGGCCCCTGCTTGGGCCCTAGGGCTGGTTCTAGGGCCCCCCGCAGGGCTGTGCCTGTGGATGCCTCTCCGCCTTCCGCCTCCTGTCCCGCCACGGCTGCGGTCCCCTCCCTCCAGTCAGATCATGAGATGTTGAGGCAACTGCATTTCACAACGTTTAGCCAGAATGTTGAAGCCAGGGAGACGACAAGAGAAGTGTAAGCAATTAAGAAAAAGGAACTCTATTGAGAAATGATCTCATCTAAAATGGTGAAAAATCAAGATACAGAAGCAGGCCAGCTCTGAGTCACAGAAATGGAAAAATCCAGTAGGAGGCTTCAGAGACAGATCAGAGAAACAATGTCCAGTGACATGGCAACAGGATACCTGCTAGGGGAAATGGCGTTCTCTGAGACCCACTGCCCTGTGCTGGTCTCACTGGGTCTCCTGTTTGTAAAGAAGCCCCCTCTACCCCCACCCCCGCACAAGTGGCAGCAGGGGGGGCGCTGGTCCCAGGGGACACCGGGGCTTCCAGGGCAGCATCCGCCTCCTCTTTGGGGGCCAGGTCCTGCCAGGGCATCTGCTCGGAGCGTGGGAAGGGTTCAGGGTTCCTGCCTCGAATTCCCGTCTCCTGTCACTCTTTCCATCCACAGGGCAAGATTCACCCCATGGGAAGGGTGGCCCTCTCCAGCCCTGTTCCAGCCCCCGTTGGAAACAAAACAAAAACCCCATCTTACCCAACAGGAAATGGTGACTGGAGGCTTTTTCCTGTGCAGTTTGGCACGCATGAAACAAATTAGTGAAGGTGGCACTGGGAGGGGGCTCTTCCCTGCCTGCCCTGCCTGCAGGCCAGTGTCCGCCTCGACCCCCAGCTGAGCTCCCCCAGTCAGGCCCACTACTTCCGTCTCAAATGGCAACCCTTCCCCTGAGCCCGAGCCCAGCTGCCTGGGTCCCAGGCCGGTGCGTGACGGCAGGGCTGGGGTGGGGACCAGCACCGTGCTGGACGCAGGGACTAGGAGGACAGAGGTCTCCCAGCACGCTGGCCCTTCCTCTCCACCTGCTTGCCACCGCCTTGTTCTGGCCCCAGGCTGGAACATGCTAGAACACAGTCTCCCCATCCCTAGCAAGTCTCCTTCTAGCCTATTCCTTGTTTTTCTAATGTGTTTCTCTAGTCTGGGTAAGAAGCAGGAAATCCATTTTTAATTCTAGTCTGAGGCCCACCATATTACATGCCCAACACGCTGAGCCTCAGTTCTGAGGTCTACGGCTCCCGCCAAGGTGTGAGCGCCGTCGGCAGGCCGGGGACCCTTGGCTGAAGACAGAATTAGCTCCACGACATTTTTGCATCATGGTCTAGAGCAGTGAAATGCTTGGAACACAGCATATTTATTTCAAGATAAAAATGCTGTGAGCCACTGGTGGGTTTTTTTTTTTTTTCCTCTTCTTCTGCGGCGATAAGGGAGAGGAATAGGAAAAGGATGTGGTGAGCATGCCCCCCAGCGAAGTACCAGAAGCTACAAGAGAGTCCTCTGTGAGTCAGAAGGCTGGGCTCACCTCTTTCCTTTCTTTTAGGTTCGTCAACATGACGATGGTGGCAGACTTCTGTTCCCAGATCATTCTCCAGAAGTCATTCACCGTTTCCTGTTTGGGGCCTGTAGGCAGAGGATGATCCCAAAACCAGACCTGAACAGGGTCACCGTGGGTCCCAGCCCTGGTCACCCCGGCCCTGGGGCCCCGGGAAGGCCGCCGCGGCCCAGGTGCTCGGAGGCACGAAAGGGCTGCTCAGCTGACCCTGAGGTCTGCGGCTTCCCCGCCCTGTCCCACCTCAGCCACACCCACTCCTCCGCTGGGGCTGCAAAGTCCTTGGGGAGTGACACAGTGGCGCCCAGGGGGTGACCCCATTCACAGGCAGTAAGGGGTATTCAGTGAGGCTTGGGTCAGCCTGCGTGTCAGAGTGGTGTGCGCCCACTCAAGGGCTCGTTGAGCCTCCGGAGACCAGAGCCCACTCTGGAACTGCACAAGTGTCTGTGTGAGAGAGACAGACTGCAGGCTGGCCGACTCACCCTCCATGTCTAAGCCCCTCCCCTCATCTCTCAGCTGCCCCTGCAGCTGGTGGTGATTCAGTGCCATCCAGGGAGGTGTGGGCTAATGTTCCTGGGGAGCGTGCTGAACCAGAGAGAAAGCGTCCCCAGAAGAAAGCCCTCTGCCTTTTGCCCTCCTTCCTGCCTGAATCCAGACACAGTGCCCAGAGATGCAGCAGCCATTTTGTGACCCTGAGGAAGAGACTGACCCGCCACGGGACGGTGTAGCAGGAAGATAAGAGGCCCCTCTCCCTGGAGCTGCCCTCGCAGCCCTGGGCTGTCTCCCCTGCTTAGGGGAGAGAGAGAGAGAGAGAGAGAGACACCTCTCTCTGTGTCAGCTAATGTCTGCCGGGTTTTCCGACACTGTTGTCCTCTGGGCCCTCAATTAGTAAGTCCTCAACTGATGCTGATGTACACTGACTTTCGGGACCTGCTGTCTGAAAGACTCTTGCCTAAAAGGGAGGAAGTCCAGGATACCTGCTGCCGGCCCCGCATCCCCACCTGCACCAGCCCCCGGGGTGGAGGGGTGGTACGACAGATCGGAAGCACTCACACATACAAAGTGGATTGTGAGCAAGGTTGAGGGCATGCTTCCAGAGCTGAGGCATCCTCATGGGCATGGCCTTGATCTGAAAAGCTACTCACTCCCCTCCCCCACCGCCCCGAAAAAAACCACCACGTGGGAGCCACACAGAGCTCAGCCAGCTGAGAGAAACGCAAGGCTGTCTACAGTAACAAGCAGCACTCGGCCACGGTCACCACCGCCCTGCTGGGCGCCCTGTCTCTGACTCACACGGGTGTGGAAAAAACGTGTCTGTCTGTCTACACCTACACATTGTGCGGATGCACATCCAACGTGTCTGTGATGACACAGTGACCAAAATGACCACACCCGCCCTGCTCATCTGTCTGTCCTGACCACGGGAGGGCCAACGCACCCAAGGGCTCTAACACGTCTGCGCTTTCGAAGCTCGGTTCAGAGAATGAGCTTTATGTGCTTCGCACACGGATGCACAGAACGACCTCAGGATGCTTTCAAAGACGCAGACTGTAATACAGCATTTCTGCCCAGCTCCCAGGACGCGCGGGCCTTCCGGGTCAGCGGAGCGCCGCCTCGAGTCGCAAGGCTCTGTGAGATTCGAGACAGCCCTGCATGCCGTGAGCGCAGGGACAGGGGGGACAGACTGCATTCAGGCACCAGAGACCCAGCACTGCCCACGTAGTAGAAGCCGAAATGAAGCCCCCGCATTCCCACTATCAGATGAGGACACGGTCGCCATCCACGTCATTTTACCCGAGTCATGTTCTCAAAGTAACAATAAAAAGCTTACCTTGAGCTGCGATGAATTTATTCTTCTCTTTGTAACCCTAGAACAGTAAAATCAGATTTGTAGTGTTTCATAATTACCTCTCCTGAAGGATTTTGTTGTTGTTTGGAAAGTTAACACAGTAATCATGAAAATCTTGGAAAACACAGAAATACAGAGAAAACTCACTAGCAATTTCAGAAAGAGTGCTACTTTTGTTTGTCCATCTGTAGACTTTTTTGTCAATACTTGCCCAGGCCCACACAAACACATACACACATACAGACAAGCAGACACACATTTAGTTTTCTTAACTGGCTAATATATACAAATTCTCCTCTACATTCCATTTTTATGATAATTTTATAATTTATATTAAATGATCTATTAAGGTTCAATTAAAGTGGATTCTTAATTTATTGAATATGGTTTTACCGTAAATTTGTCTAACCGGTCCCTCCTATCCTATTTGGTCAGTAACGTAAAGAACACTGTAACAAACATCCTGGGTGCTTCTCCGTTTCTTGAAAATGAGTCCCCGGACAGATGCTAATTCGAAAGGCCTGGGTATTTCCATGAGGCCCACGGAGGTTGTGATAATTTATATTCCTGCCCGCCCCGCCGCAGAGAAAAGTCATGATTCACACTGAGCCCCCAAATGGTCCAGGCATGGGCATCATGCCGGGCGGAGGGACAGGAAAACAGCAGACTTACATCTATGTAGGAAGCATTGACGTAGTCTGAACAGGGGCTTCCATCCACTTGGCTCAAAATCACCCTGGAATGATCATCTGTTTAACAAAGAAACAACAGAACATGGTATCAGGATAAGGAAATCACGCCCGCTGTACATATCTTCCATCTAGAGCGTTAAACACTACAAAGGACATGAGCGGACCTCCCACCGAGGTCACAGGGATGGAGGAGGTGTCAGGAGACCCTGCATGTCATGAGGGTGACATGAGGGTGGGAATGCATCTGTTTCATTGAATACTGCGTCTCAGCACTGAGGACAGTGCTCAGACCCCAACCAGGTGCTCAGGAAAACCTGTGGGATGACAGCAGACGTAAGGATTTCAGTGTCCAGGAGTGGGGGCGGCTGGATCTCCCCTAGACAGCGAACAACAGCAGGTGCTGGGACCCGACAGTGAGATCACCATATTCTCTGAAACCCCAACTGGGTGCCAATATTAACAAGTGTTGGTGTACTTGGGATAGCCCTGGATGGAAGGACAGGAGCCCACTCTCCCAGGCTTTCCAGGGAAAGGACAAGCAGACTCTGCACCCCGATCCTCATCCTTCAGGTTGGCTCTAGGGATGGAAAGTGGGCAGAACTCACACAGACCTGGGCTGAGCACGGCGGGCCACCTGCCTGGAAGACTCTGGCTTGTTGTACAAGCAGTCTCCAGAGTGGGAGGGCTGACCACGGAGAGGTCTGTGTGGGCGTGTGGTGTGTGTTTTCTCTGTGGGAATGTATGGTGTGTATGTGTGTTTGTGGGGTGTGTGTATACACACACATCAGGGAGGTTTCAACCAGGGCCCCATTGTGATTTCAGTGGGTCCTTGTCCCTCCTGCCTATGAAGGAGGCCACATCCTCCATTAAAAAAAAATGAAGAAAAAAAAGATGAAACATTTTATTTTATGACTGTGTTACTAGCTAATAAAGCTTAATGTAATCCCAACTGGATTATGTATATATATTTTTCTGATTTTAAAGGAGATGAGATGGTTTCATGGGACCTTAAAAATGTTGTGGCCCTGGACCTGGGTCTCCACGCTGAGGTGGACTCTTACTTCCCCGGGGAGCAGAAATATTGAGGACGCCCAGATTCAGCCCAGGGCCTGGGTCGAGGGTCACAGCTGCTCCTGGGGTTAATCATGCTGTGCTGGGAATAGAGCTTGGTAGAGAGTGAGTGCTTCATACGTACTTACTGCATTAATTATGGAAAAATTCTGTGTCCTTGTCCTGTTTTATCCCCTCCTAGTCCCCACAGGACTGGAACTGACTGGGAAGGATGTGTTGTGGTGTGGATCTGGGGCAAGGACCCCGATCGTAGCTGTTGTCTCCCGCGGGCCTGGAAGGTGCTGCTGGCCTCAGCTACCCATGGTCTGGATGTTGCATCGCGGGCCAGGTCTGTCCTGTGCTAGCAGGATGGGCCAGTGAGGCTCTCAGGGAAAGTCATGATCCATATGGGGCAGCCAGGGTATCAAACCCCAAACATACAACCCAGGCGGACTTCTTTGTGAGACCCTCCTGCTCAGGGGCCGACAACCCCAAAGCAGAAATAGCTCTCTCTGAACATGCGTAAAGCTAGTTGAAAATAACGTGGAACAATTTACGCTTTGAGAACAGCTATAGAAAGCAGAGGGCAAAAAATAGCCTTCTGGTTAGATTTAGAATCTCGCAGTTTCTAAGAGCTTCCTGTCTTTTTATTCTGAAAGTCACACTTCACTTTCAAAACATGATTTCCTGAAATTATCAGCTGTTGCTGTTTTTCCAGAGCAGAGGATGCTTTCTCCCAACTGGCCATCGAAGCTTTTCCACAACCCGACCTCGTGGACCTGAGACCCCCCTGCACCATCTCCGGCGAACCAGCCCATTCCTGTCCTGGGTCCCTAGCCGGCCCCGGGGGCATCTCTGGCCAACTCCTCATTGAATCAGACACGGCTCTCCCTCAGCCTGGGCCTGGCTGATGTCAGATGCCACTCCCGCCGGTGATCTCCAGGGCACATCCTAAGTGCCTCCACGCTGCCACCCCATAGACCCAGTGTCCCATTAATGTGAAACACTTTCCATCCGTGCACAGCACCCTGGCCCCTGGTGACTACCAGCAGCCCGCCCTCCTCTGCATAGTGCTCCCGGGCAGGAAAGCGCTGGGGCTGGACCCTCACCCAGTGGGGGTGGGGGGAGGCAGGACTGGCCCTGTCTCACGTTTATACTTGCAGGAAAGGCCCACTTCCCTCCTTAGCACAAGCTGGAAAACAGAGCTTGGAGAAAATGTGCTGGGGGTGGGCTCTGCTACTGGGGGAGGCAGCACCCCACCCTGGGCCATCACCTCTGCGAAGAGGGGATGGGGTGCAGGTAATTTCCACACCTGGCCATTAATTCCACTCCCATGAGCCTCACCAAAAATACTTTTAATTATCAGTGTAAATGTCACCTTTTAAAAACTATAGGGGTTTAGTAAGTAAGAGACAAATGGGGGTCAGGAACCTGGGAAAGTGCGTGGTTCAGACTCGATCCTCAACCTATACATTCAGCAGATCAATGCATAAATTAAACTAATTAATGAAGCTAATTAGTGGGGTGCCTGGGTGGCTCAGTCATTAGGCGTCTGCCTTCAGCTCAGGTCATGGTCCCGGGGTCCTGGGATCGAGCCCCGCATCGGGCTCCCTGCTCTGCGGGGAGCCTGCTTCTCCCTCTCCCACTCCCCCTGCTTATGTTCCCTCTCTTGCTGTGTCTCTGTCAAATAAATAAAAAATCTTTTTAAAAAGTGAAGCTAATTAGTTAAACCAATAATAGATAATAATACTAATTTCCAAATATCCTGATTTTTAATTTGACACAAAATATTCCAAAGATCCCAAGCCTACCACCATGGTTCTCCTCTTGCTTGAGCTGTTCAAGCCTAGTGGTTTGCCTCCTCCCTTCTCTCATAACCCACGCCTGATCCCCCCAAATTGTCCCCACTACTTGTCCAGAGTCTAACCTCGGTCCAAGCTCCCTCCCTGCCCAGTGGCACAACTACACAGCTCCTGACCCATCTCCTTGCTGCTCCCTTGGCTGCCCACACAAATACGATTTGGCCCAAAGACTATTTGGTTAATTTCTCTTGCTTTAGTTGGATCAGAGCCTCACAGGGGCCTTTGCAAAAAAGATATGTAAATCCTCTGTTTGCAAAGTGTGGCAGAATTATTTCTACCAAGTGCTGAGTCCAGAGGTCACACAAACTGGGCGGACCACAGCTTCTCTTGCCCACAGAAGAGATGGACTTCCCTCTGATCCTAAAAATGCAACCAGGAGCCCACGCAACGAAGCCCACTGCACAGGCTGGTTTCCTTGCTCCCACGGAGGCTCTGTCTGAGAAGGGAGGCTCTCTGGGCTTACCTGGCGAGACCTGGAGTTCAGGATTCAAACCCTTCCTGGCTGCCATTCTGATAGCCCTATGAGCAAAGCCCACAGGAGGGTCCAGCTGCACCAAGAGTATCGAAATTCTCCTCGGCCAGCTTTTATAAAGACAGCTAGGAGCTTTAGGTTTGTCCTGGCACCAAGGTAGGCTGTAAAAGCTGCCCCCAGGGCACAGCCATCCAGCTACATCCCTGGACAGACCTGTCAGCCACCAGGCCCGAAGGCCTCCCTGGAGCCTGAACACCATAGCCCCAGGCTCCCTGTAGCAGTTGGGGTTTCTAAGCCTTCCCACAAATCTGCCAAAGCCCTACGCATTTCTTATTCTTTCGTTTCTGTCCTTGGTCCAGGAGACCCGCTGCTGGTGGCCAGGAGTGCTGAGTCTGAGACAGGAAGAGGACCAGGGCCACCAGAAGCACAAGATTGGGGCTCAGGACTGGATCCCATAGGAGGCCCCCACCAGCCCATGCAGGTGGCACTCCCCTTGGCCCCAGGGCAGCACGGGTCTCAACATCGAGCACAGGCTTGGTGGCCGAACCCACCGCAACAGAGGTGGCCCGAGCCCCCCGTGGGAGATGGACGCCTACATTCCCTGTGCAAATGTCAAGCAGCAGTGTGGGTGCAGGCCCCCATCTCCGAGCCCTGGGACCCTGGGACCACCATGCTGCCCGGACAGGCCCATTCCCCGGGAGCTGCAAGGGAATGTCGATTTTACTCCAAATGCTACCCACAGTGCAAAAAAGGTTAAAATCTTACTGGGAAGGATGTTGGGATATCTGTTTTTTTCTCTGTTTTCTTCTTTATTGGCCTGTTCAAAAGTTCCTTGTATGTGTCCAGATGGCAACGACTAGAAAAGAATACACAGTTAGCACTAAATGTGATGGATCTGAACACCGTGTGTACGTCAGCTTTCCTAACGAGCGTGGGCAGGAAGAAAACTCCGTCTGAACAAATCCCCTGCAGTCCACTGCCCTCTCTTCCTTGTAGGCTGTGCCGGGCACTGGGCAGAGACGGGACGAAGGGTGCTCTAGCTAGCAGGCCAAATGAGCTGTGGACATGATGACCCCACGGTTGGACCCGAAGCCGCATGAAGGCAGGGACCGGCCCGGGCATTGTCACCCAGCCCCTGGGAGCAGCAGGTCCAGGCCCAGAGCAGGCACTCTACAAAAACTTAGAGGAGGACCACAGGAGAGCTCGGGACCAGGAGGCGGCAGAGCAAGGGCGCCTGTGCAGAGGGACTGGGCTGAGGGATGAGCAGAATGATGCGCAAAGGACCCAGCTATGGGCCCCCTGCTTGAGACGCGTGTGCTCGTGGACCAGCAGTCAGGGCGCAGCTGGGCCCTTGTGGAGAGTGCAGACCCCAGCCCCAGCCTGGATCAGCACGAAGATCCCCAGGGGTCCTGGGTGCACCCTTGGCTTCCGAAGCTCCGCCCTAATCCCCCCTGCCTCAGATGAGGACACTGAGAGGCCACTAGGACCCTGTAACTGATGTGCTGCTCAGTGGACTTGAACTCAGGCTCCCTGACTTCGACTCTTTCACTACTTGGGGCCCCTCGCATTCTGCTAGCTCCATTTGTCCTCCCGCATTTGCTGGCTGCTGGGACATCCTCTGCACTCAGATGAGCCCCTTGCAGTGCACAGCGGGAAAGAGCCTTTTGAACCCCCAAATCACGTCCTTCAACATTAATAACCTAAACATTGACTGGACCAGGGGCCACTGGAATTCAAGTAACAAGCGTGACTATTTAATACCAAGCATCTTCGATGCGCCAGGTCCTGCAGGAGGATTTGAGTCACCTGGCCCGCCTTCACAAGATATCCTGAGATGACATTAGCATCACCTCTGTTTTACAGATGAGGCAACTGACCCCCAAGGCTGCTTGACAATGTCCAGAGTCACCTGGCTTGCACGGGGCAGACACAGGGTTGGGGCCTGCAGTCTGGCCTGGAGCTGCCATGAGGCCATGAGGAGGGTGCTCACTTCTTCAAGTGTCAAGTCCCCGGGGGACTGGGGCAGGCCTCACAGGGCAGCCCTGGCCCGAGGCTTGCTCATCCGTGAGTCAGAAGGGACGAATCTGTCACAGGTGCGCAGAGCCTCCCTCTCGCGCATCGGAGGACTTCTCCTTCACCGACTGAGCCCCTGCCAGCCAGCGTCTTCTTTCTCTTGTTTTGGGGTCACCACACTGGATGGCCACAGGCAGAGTCTCTGCCAAGGCCAGTGTGGAGCTCAGCCTGGTGGGGGCCTTGGGACCAACACTTTCTCTGCCTGAAGTTCCTGAGTCTTTTCAAAGCTGTCTTAACACTGACTTTCTGGAGCCGACCTGAACAGGGAATTGGTGATAACGTTCTACCGACTCTCATTTTCTATACCCGAAAGCTGTTTTTGACCTCATCCCTGAAAATAAAAATGAGGTATAATACTGTAATGGCGGATGCATGACGCCACGTGTTCGTCAAAACCCACACGATGAATGACACATGAAGCCCAGCTCTGGACTTGAGACGGTGACAATGAGTCGATATTAGTTATCAGTTGGAATGCACGGAGCACCCTATGCTGACGGTTGGGGAACCTGTGTGCAGGGAGGGGCAGGGTACGTGGGAACCCTGTGCTCTGCATGGTTTTTCTGTAAGCCTAAAACTGCTCTACAAATTAAAGTCTACACAAATAACAAATTAAAAAGAAAAAGAGAACCCGAGAAGCCTCCCTCTCCCTCGGAAGGTGGGGTGGCTACAGCGTGGTGGGTGGAGAGGCTAGAGCGGTCTAGGTGGCGAGCAGGGACCCAGCCCTGCCACCCTGTCCCCCCGGCAGTGACCTGAGACCCGGAATATGGAGCTGGTGTGCTGACACCGGCTCTGCGGGGGGTGCAGAGGGTCACTTGGGGTGCGAGGCGAAGTGCTCTGCCTATGGAACGTGTCTCCGTATCCAAGCACACAGAATAACGGCCTCGAGAGGCCGGCCCATCGCTTTCTCCTGCTGTCAGTCTGCCCGGGGACCCGCGCCTCTGAGCTGCTCAGATGGCACAGGGGAGATGGGACAGCACCCGGGGGAGGGCTCCACCGTAAATGGTCAGCCCTGCAGTGCTGGGAGTGAGCTGTGCACGGAGTAACTGGTCAATAAATACCTTGTGATTGACTGTCCAATTCCATACATTGGCCAAAGAGGGTTTGTTTGCCTGCTTGCTCACTCGAGGTGAGATTTCATGTCGATGAACACACACAGGAGGAGCCACGGGTCACATCCCTTCCTCTTCCTCCCTGCTTTGCACTGCTGGGCAGGCGGTAGCGACATGAGAAGAGCAGAGAGGAGCCAGGTGTGGGCTGTTCCAGCAAGCTCCGGGGTACAGTTCTGGCTTGCATGCTGGGTCGTGACCTCTCCCGGCGGCACCTCCCTTGGGCCTTTCTACAACACTAACGATAGGGGCTGGATCCGGGTCCGGGCTTGGGATAACCTGCTGGTCTGAGACTGGGAAGGTCCCGTCTGTGGAGGTGGCCATTCCGGGCCTGAATGGCACTCACTTGCTGCGGTTTAACTGGGGGCCTGGAACAGACTTCGTTGGGATAGCACTCTATCATTGCGGGGTGGAGACTGAGGCTGGCTGTTCCCAGGAGCAGTCCTAAAAAGCAGGGCATCCCCAGACTCCTCTCCTGCAGACCCGAGGCTAAGCTAGCCACACATCTACCTCTTTTACATGTTAGGGTAATCCTACGGGGGCAGGCAGCATCCTTATTTTATAAGTGAGTAAACTGAGGCAGGCAGAGGTTAAGTGATGGCCCAAGCCGTCCAGGCTGGTAAGAGACAAGCTGGGCCAGCCACTCAGGCAGGCCAAAGCCAGCATCCCCTTCTTGACCACTCCACTGAGCTGACCCCAGCACCAAACCCTTTCAGTCCACTGAAGCTCTGGGTCAGCAATACACACATGTCCAAACTCGTCTGGATGGACGACTTTGAGACTCATCTGTCCCTTCCACAGTTCCTGGGACTGGAACTCAGGACAGCGGGCGAGGAGAAGGGAGAGGAGGTACAGTCGTCCAGCTCAAGTGGGGTCATCTGCGAAGCCAGGGCTGGGCCGGTCCTGGCAGACTCCAGTACTCTGACAAGAGGGAAGCCACACAAACGTGGCTTAGGACATGGCCAGCTCTCACTCGTGAGAGGAGCAAACTGGGGTCTAGAGAGTACCAGCAGCTCGTCCCGGGCCCCCCAGCGCCAGGACCAGGCCCTTCTCCCCTCTGCATATCTGTCCACCCTGCCCTGCATGGAGGCCTCCAGCGGGCCACAGGGAAGCCACTCAATGGCAGGGGCAGGGCAGGGCGAGAAGAGTACGGCAGCCAATTTAAAGCGGTGCCCAAACAACTCAGGAATCGAGTAAAATAATATTCAAATGCAACATTTAATTTTTTTTAAAGTCAAAATCAAAGCAAAAAAAAATCGATGGCCAAAACACAAAACTTTTACCTAATAACAGGACGGATAATAGTGTAGAGACAGGCCAAGTTGGAGCCTGGGACCACAGGAGAAATCCGTTGGCATGACCTTATCTTTATTGACAATTGTACTGTTTTGCTCAGCACGGATTGTTCGCAGTGATTTTTGATATATTTGCTTGTTGCATTAAATATTATTGATCCCGACAAGACGAGGGTTTTTTGCGCCTGGGGCAAGGGCCTCACCTGCCCGACCCTGTTTCTGGCCCTGCTCCGTTGGAGTGGTCAGCTGCTTCTGACTTGCAACTTTCTGCTGGCAAAGCCAGCCACCCCTCCGCGTGGAGAAACACGAGTGCAAGGGGAAATGGGACAAGGCAGGAAGGGGAAAGTCATACTGCTGTAAACCTGGAAAGTTATTCTGGACATGGAGAATTAACTTCTCTTATGTGGCTGACCGGATTGCAAAACAACACTGCTTGGAGCTGTCTTTCAATATGACCTAATTTCTCAAAAAATAAAGGGGGGGGCACATTTGGAAACAATTAAAAGGAAGCAGGATAAAGGCGGACAAGGTATGTGCTAAAAAATAAGCAACATACAGTTGAAATGCTCCGTCACCTCCTGTGCCCTCATGGGACGCTTCCCTGTGAAATGTCCCCCGTCTGTCGCAGTGTCATCTTTGGGTAAAACAACTGCACAACACTTTGCTGTTTATGAAGTCCGCTGTCTGAGCCTCAAGTGGAGCCATAAGGTCCCTCTGATCCCCAAGCCGCCCCTCCCCGGGGCGGCGGAGGCCGGCGGCGTAGGCGCAGCTGACCCACATGCCCGGCAGCTCGGCAGCTCCTCTTGCAATCTCCACACTCAGCACATGGCTGTGCACAAAATGAGGAAGATGCATAAAGCCAAACTCAAAACTCGGTCAGGGATGAACTCTGAACGGCTAAACCCAAGGCAACTCTTCCTGGTGTCTGTCTTAACTGCAGCCCGCCCAGGCCTCTCTCTCTCTCTCTCTCTCTCTCCCTCTGTCTCTGTCTCTCCAACAGATTCAAGAGTCACAGGACATTGAATGTCACATGAGCAACACAAAAGAACTATCACGAACGCTCGTTTGTGTTTTGTGTTGAGAGCTAGGAGAGTCCGTTTGCTACCATGGGGACGGTTCCGACTGGTTAGAGCCACCCTAGTTGGTGGCTGCCATCGCTGAGGTCACAGAGGAAATTCATCCAGAACCACAGTAGCAGGATGAAGACAAGAGGCTGGAGCAGACATCAAACCAAAGGGAGCTCGTGGCCCCTCAGGGAGCCCCACGACCGCTTAATTCATGCTCTGAGGATGGGTCAGAAGAGGGACATTTCCTTTGCCAGCGAGATGCTTAAGCTCTTCGAAGCCCATTAGAGGTGGGGTGGGGGCTCCACCGCTTTCAACACGGAACTGCCCCACTGCCCTCTGCTCAGGCCCTGGTCTTCCCCGTTCGCGAGAAACCGAGTTTCTGTCACACTAGATTTTAGGACACGGCCCTCGGAGCGTTTGCGCTGGAAGGAGCCTTCGGGAACATCTCCCTCAAGGGTCTCATCTTAAGAATGAGCAATGAGGGGGCGCCTGGGTGGCTCAGTTGGTTAAGCGACTGCCTTCAGCTCAGGTCATGATCCCAGAGTCCTGGGATCGAGTCCCGCATCGGGCTCCCTGCTCTGCGGGGAGCCTGCTTCTCCCTCTCCCACTCCCCCTGCTTGTGTTCCCTCTCTCGCTGTGTCTCTCTCTGTCAAATAAATAAAATCTTTAAAAAAAAAAAAAAAAAAAAAGAATGAGCAATGAGGATGGGGGGAGGGGCCCTGCAGCAGAAACCAGGTCTCCAGAAGCCCACTTTTGGGACAGTGTCACAACCGATGCAAGCGTTGCTGGTCTTTGGGCACTGCCTGTCCGGGTTTTCGACCCCAGGACAAGAAGACAAAGGACCCCCCCGCCCCCAACTCACATTGAACTCCTCCCGAAAGCGTTTGCAGTCATCTGCTGAGCGGACGCGGATCTCCTCCTCCAGGTGCGCCAAGGGGATGGGAAAGTACTTCTTGGGCCCGGAGGGGGACCTGCTGAGAAGCATCACTCGTTGCTGCTCTGTGGGGCCAAAAGAAACACGGGGGCCACTGAGCCGTATTCCCGGACAGCTGACTCCTTCACCAGACGGACTGACAGCTTTCCTGGAGGAAAGACACCGCTGGAGGGGGGGCCCACTGCTCTCAGATCATGTAGCCAGGAGGGGCCCTGAGCACCTGAGTACAGAGCTCTGTCTCCATGATACACCCACGCCATTCACAAATAGGGGCGTCCCTCTGGGGGGGGACCTGCTCCCACCAACCACAGACGCCTTATCTCAGTCCCCCAGCCCCTGCTCCTTCCACAAAGGATTTGGGCAGCTTCACCCTCCAGCCCAGTTTTCCAGGTTTGAAATAGGGAGGATGACTATGTTAATAAATTAGGAAGAATCATTTTGGTTCAAGTTGGGAATAGACCGGAAATCGGTTAGGATTGGAGCCTTCCCCAGCCTTGTATGCTTTGTGACACACAGTCCTGGTTGCTGAAACCCCATAAGCTCCAGGAGAAATAAGACAAACACCATCCTTGTGTGGCAGGGAGCAGGCAGGGAGGCCCTGGGAAGGGCTAGCTGCGGGGCAGTTCCTGGACAAATTCCCTCCATACATTCAGAGTGAGACAAAAGGAGAAATCCCTGGCATGTGCTTCGCTCCCTGGGAAATGCGCCGATATTCTTGACAGGGTCAACACGAAACCTTTGCCTTCACGCTTGCAAAGGGCCTGTCCCCACCTGCAGAGCGGTTCTGAAGCCAAGCCAAGAACTCCTCCCAGGGCTCATTCCTCGGAGAGAAGATGCGCCAGAAGATGGCCTCAGGGTCTCGCCAGCCACACCTTCTTCCCTCCCATTCAGGCTGTTGAAACGTGCAGGGCAGGGAGAGGGGGCAGGAAGGGGGCCCCTGGAGGCCACATTAGCACCTAACAAGTTGCACTGCAACCCCAGCACTTCAAAATTGCCCTCCATCCTCTCCACTGCGCCCTCCCCTGCTGCCAGTTTTGCAACTGTGTTTGAAATCTGATCGCATGTTTGTTCCCTCAAACCATGGAACAATTAGGTAGCAAACAGCCAGAGGAAGTGACAGTCACTTGTGTGAACCAATACTTTTGAAAGCCTCTGCCTCACACAGTCTTCTCGGCCACCTAGATGTGTGCCCTGTGAGTTGCATTAAGGCCTTCCGAACTGAACTCAGAGTCGGAAAGAAAGGTCGGGAATGCCCTCTCCCGACTGCCACCATCCCCACTACACACACTGGTGGATCGGCTCCCTTTCTGCATCACGATCCGAAAGCAGTGCGAATTTCGGGGGAGCCCTTCAGAGGCTGTCTCATTTTAGGACTGTAGAGGGCTTACTGAAAAATGTTACATATCAAAACCCTGTAAAAAGTGACAGGATGTGAACAGTGTTTCCAACAAAGCCACAGACTGAAAGCCTCAAGTGTCTGTTTCCCACCAGAGAGAAATGGAGAAAAGTCTTGAAATGGTAAAATTCTACCATCGCAAATGCTAGCACTATACCAGGGAAAGCGAGACCAAAGTGGCAAAGCTGAAGGAATTTAACGTTTAAAACAAAAGGCAGACAACAGCCGCCTGCGTGGTCAGAAAGAGCTCAACTCCCTGCCCCCAGCCCCCCGGGTACCTTGTTCTTCCAGGATTCCGTTGGGCATCTTCTTGTCATTGGTGCTGACCACGGCTTTCCTCTGCTTCCTGAACCTTGGAGACACAGATGGGTTAGCTTCAGGCCCGGGGACATTTCCCGGAGCCCAGGGACCTTGCGCGGCAATACCCACCAGGTGAGCCGGGAGAAGCTCTTCCTGCTGCTCATGGCTGGGCCGAGCCACCCCAGACCTCCGGTCCCCAGCCCTGTGGGTCCCCAGCCCCTCCCGTCCCCAGCCCTGCCACCCTCTGCCTGGACCCACACCGCCCTGCAGCCTCGAGGAGCTCATTTCCTCTTCAGAGCCGGTCGGGGCAAGTCCGCCTGCGCCCCGGGGACACTCCTACCTGAAGAAGTAGGCGGCGAGGAGCAGAAGGAGGACGAAGAGCAACAACGGCAATAGCAGCCAGGCCAGCAGGGGCTGGGGCGCGCGGGGGTCAGGAGGGCCTGCGGGCGATGGGGGACCCCAGGCAGGGACTCAGGTAACAGGGAAAGTGGGGTTTGGGCAAGGCAAGATCCCCAACACTAGACTGCACTTTACGGTGTGCAAATCAGTTGCCCCTCCATCCCATTAGAACTTCTTCTCTCATACCAGAACCTCCTTTATCAGCCCTTCTTGGACACCAGCACCTCACTTTAGAGTCTGCAAAGCAGGCCACCGTCCCGGTCCACCATGCTCACCACTGAAGAGATGAGCAGCACTGATACGGGGAAGGGAGCTTGAACTGAGGGGCCGGTGACTTTGTCCCAGGCTCCCTGGGGAGGGGCAGTGAAGGCACAACGGGGAGCCCCTGACCCTCAAGTAACCTGTTTCCCCGGGTTCCTGGGGCACCTGCCTCTCCCCATCATGGGGAAGCAGAGGAGGGCGAAGGATTAGCTGCCCTACTCTTCCGTCTGAGGACAGCGTGGGGAGCTCCCGGGGCCTCGGCAGGAGCTCAGGGCACGGGGTGCAGCCTGGCCCTTGGGTCAGGTGGAGGTCTGTGGCCATGCCACAATCAGGTCTTCTGGAGCTTCGAGCTCCCAGGCCTACCGGTCCAGGTTGACTTTCCTTGTTCAGAAGGCCCCACGTCCTTGGACCAAGAGCAGTTGCCACGTGGCTGCCCAGGACTGGCCCAGTGAGCCCAGATTCCGAGGGGCTCTGGCGGCCTGGCTGCCACCCCTCCCCTGAGTTCCGCCTGAGCCCCTGCCTCCCCCAGACTGCCGTGCTGCCCTTTCCTCATCAAAATGTCCCTGCTCCCAAGGAGCCTATCAAATGCCCCCTCCTCAAGGAAGTGCACTCAGCTCCCCTCCTGTGGATCCCAGAGCGTCACTTCATGCCTCGAAGCACAGACCCCACTCTCCTGGAGTGAACAGGCCCTGGGGGTGACTGCCTTCACTCTGATTCAGTGGAAGCCCTTCAAAGGCAACAACTGGGCTTCCTTGGCTTTGAGGTCCCAGAAGCACCAAGCATGACCTTGAGCCCAGTGGGGGCACCACAGCCTCCCTCCCCCAGCAACTCCCTCCTGGTGTATTCTAAAGATCTTTTTTTTTTTTTTTTTTTAAGATTTTATTTATTTATTTGAGAGAAAGAGAGAGAGACAGAGAAACAGCATGAGAGGGGAGAGGCTCAGAGGGAGAAGCAGGCTCCCCACTGAGCTGGGAGCCCGATGTGGGGCTTGATCCTGGGACTCCAGGATCATGACCTGAGCCTAAGGCAGTTGCTTAACCAACTGAGCCACCCAGGCGCCCTAGTCTAAAGATCTTAATCTGCATCTCATGTCCCAGGTTGTAAGCAACCTCCACCCCCAGGGCCTCATGCCGACTCTGGCCCCTTTTAAGTGGCTAATGCATATATTTCTAATAAATGACAACATGTCACTGACTCAAGTGACCACTCGATGCAGAAGTGCCCTGGGACACAGTTGGTCTGTGAGGAGAAGGTGGCCAACAGACAAGACACCCTCATCCCAGGCTGAGCCAATGCCTCTCCCATCTGGCTAGCGGCCCCACCAGCCAAGCAGTAGGGCAAAGCCAGGGTGACCCAGGCTAAGCCGCTAAGTGCCCCGGGCCCTCTCCTCTGGCCCCACCTGCTGCAGAGCTCCCCTGGGGAGCTCACCTGACCTGGGGCTTCCACACTTGCCCATCCAGGGAGAACCCTCCCTGCTCTGCTGGAGCCTTGGAGCCAATTCAAGCGCAGGCTGAATGGGGGAGAAGCCTGACAGCAAGGGGCAGAGCTGGGCCCAGCCCAGACCGGTCGCCATCCCTGCCCTGCCAACTGTAACCACAGAGCATGGGCGGCTGCCCTTCTCCTGCCCCCACTTCTGCATTTGCACAGAGATCAGGCTGCCCCAGCTCAGCGTCCATCTTGGCAGTGACTGACTGGCTAGCTTGCCCATCCAAGAGCTGGATGGACCTGGCTGAGGGTTGTGGGCTTGACCTGGAGCTCTGAGGGCACCTGGACCACAGACAGCCCAGCCCTGGAGGGCTTTGTCAGGAGGCTCCCGGGTCCAGTCTCCAGGCTCAGGCTGCTCCAGTAAAGGCTATAGTTACGGAGGTGGGCGTCTCCATAGCACACCGTTGAGGACCCAGGCGGAATGACCCAGGGCCCCAGAGTGGAGCTGTGCTCAGGGGCAGAATCCACAGATCACAAGGACAAATGTCGTCAGCAGCTGCTTCTGTTCTGGAGGGCAGAGGGCAGGTAGGGACACTCAGGAGCCGGCAGGCAGGCCTGGCAGGGGACCGGGAGAACTGGGAGTGCCCCCCCACTATCCAGTTCTTCCAGCTTGCCAAAAGAAGAAATTCATATTTTCATGTAAAAAGTGATCCGATTTTTAAATATGGATACGTAATTCAACCTAAAGGCAGTTTTAAAAAACACTATGGTCTAGAAAAAAGCCTCTGCAGGCCGTGTCCCCTCAGCCAAGCGACACGTGGAAAAAACAAAAAACGGATGACATTGCTATCAGGCCAGCTTTGTGACTCGACTTTCTCGTTGGGTCGTCTGTCTTGGAAAGCTTCTGCGCCAGCACACTCGAGCCTCTTGGTTTTGTTTAACTGCGGCGCGGACGTCCACTTTCTGAATAACCCAAGATTTCGATGCACATTTAGGTTGTTTCCAACTTTTTGGCTGTTGGCTACAATTTTACCTCTCATTTCTTTATCCTTGGTGTATCTTGAAAGTGCTTCCACAGAAGGCTCCCGGAAGGGCACTCTGTGCATCCGTGTGCACACACAGTACGTTGTGATAGAAACTGCTAGGGGACCACCTGCAAAATTTCCAGCTTCCATGCTTCCCTAGACCGGGTGACGGAGCCGATTACTCCCGGCTATGAGCAATCCTCTTAATTTTTGTCAATATGATAATAAAATAATACCACTTTAATTTGCAATCCCCTAACTTCTATAGAGTTAAGCATCATCTCATGATTAATAAAACATCATCAATTCGATATTTGCATTTGGCTCGGTCACATCCTCCACTGTGTTCCTGTGTTACCTTTTTCTTATTAATTTTTTAGGAATCCTTCCTGTAACAAGGACAGGAACATTTTATTACACTGTTTGTGAATCTTTACCCTCAACTCCTGTGTAAAGGAATGTCTCTTGATGATTATTTAATACATTTTGTTCAATGAACAAACAAAATGACTTCTGGTTAATTGGTACACTGTGGCAATGTGCTGGGATCACCCTAAATAATCCTCTCAGGGAACAAAGTTTCAAGGGCACGTCACACAGTCAGGCTTCCCTGCCTCCTGGAATTCTAGGTCAATGGAGCCTGTCCACGTGGTATCACTGAGACCTTGAAGTGGGCCAGCTGTCGATTTCTCTCCTGGTTGTGTGACCAGCAGCTGCTGCCCAGCCCATAAGGCCCCCAGCAGAAGCTGCAAGGAGCTGTGACTGTCACATCCGTTCTGATGGGCACGAGATCATACCACGCAGTCTCTGTCCCTGAAAGGAGCGCCTGACACCCACAGCCATCTTACGAGCCAATCATTTTACTCTCAAGTGAACTGAAGAGGCCCAGGGGTAAGGCTGAGTCACCCAACAGATGCCCTGGGTGCCATCTGTAGGAGCGCCCACACAGCTCCACATTGCTTCTCCATTTGGGCAAATGATGCTCTGTCTGGTAGATCTGCTGTTGTTGTAAGTGTTTCTGCAGGTGTCGGGCCTCAGGCCAACGGCAGCCAGCTCCTCTCTGCCAGGCACGGGGACACACTGTCCTCGGGGCAGATCTGGAGGGTCCCAGGCTGCGGAACAGTGCCAGCAGCCCCAGTGACCCGGCACCCGGAGGCCAGCTGGTGATGAGAAGGCACGACAAATGCAGTTTCCATGTGCTGGGAGCTTCTGTGTTTCCTTTTATGTGGTTTCGGATTTCTCTGGCTTTTCATGTGAGGACAGTGCTACTCTCGCTATCCCTGCTGGGGGCTGGTATCAGGGACTGAACTCCACCTCTCCCTCCTCTTGGGGGCTAAGGGTGCATTTGTAGGACATGTGTGGGCAAAGCTCCCAAGCTGGATGGGGGGTTGAACCCCTGACCCCGGCCCGAATGATGCCACTTCTAATCACCTCGCCCAAGCTTTTTCTTCCGGAGGGGAGTTGATCATTTCTGTTTTCCCAAAGCCTTGTGATAAGCAAGTGTGATGCTTAACTTTTTTGTGTCAACTTTGCTGGGCCACAAGCTGCCAGGTATTTGGTCAAACATTGTTCTGGGGGGTGTTCGAGGGGGGTGCTTTTTGGATGAGATTCAGCATTTAAATTGGTGGTCTCAGAAAAGAAGATCACACCCCACCCCACCCCCATTGTGGGTGGGCCTCATCCAATCAGTTGAAGGCCTGCATAGAACAAAAGTGCAGAGCGTTCTGTGAGTAACAGGGAGTTCTTCCTGCCTGATTGCCTTCCAACTGGGACATCACTCTCTCTGGTTTTGTAGCCACTTGCCAGCACTCAAACTAGGACACTGGCTCTGCATATCTTGGACTTGACAACCTCCACAATTGTGTGACCCAATTCCTTATAATAAATATAAATACAGGTACAGGTACAGATATAAATGAACATATAATATATATCTATGGACTCTGTGACTCTGGAGAACACTAACCAATCATCAAGTAAAACTGTATCGGAGAAGTCCTTGAGTTTATTGCCTGGGAGTCTCGGGAATGGAGAGGGAAGGGGGAACAGAGCAGGCATATGGGGGCTGGCGAGAGACTCCAAGGCACACTCGGGGGACCAGGCCTTGCTGGTTACAGGTTCCTGCTACCCTGGGCACAGGCCGGAGCTGGCTGCCCGACGGGCCTCCATCTACCAGGGAGGTGTGGGGTGGCCCAGGGAATCCGTGTCCAGTCCTTGGGGACCCTGAACTCACCAGGTGGGCCTCTGTCTGTGTTGGGCACACACCCTAGGAGGAGATTCCAAGGGACACTGAAGAGCCAACTGTCTGGGCCTTCAGAGACCGGCTGGGGACGGGCCTCCTCAGACCCGGGCTCCTGCCAACCACAGCAGCGGCCCAGTGGACGAGCTCCTGCACCCCAGCTCGGCTGTCTCCTCAATCCTCACAGCATTGCTGAGTACTAGGCACTATCACTGCCTCCATCGCACAGATGGGGATACTGAGGCACAAAGAGGTCAGGAACTTACTCCAGCTCACTGGGCCAATAAGCAGCAGAGCGAGAACGGAACACCGGCCGCGTGACTCCAGAGCATCCGCCCTCACTGCTGTTCCTCGTCCTCTTAGCTTTGCATGGCATTAATTTCATTTCATTGACGTAAAATTTACATACTACATGCTCACCCGTTTCAAGCCTATGATTCAGTGATTTTTAGCTAATTCACAGAGTTGTGCTGCCACAGTGTTTCAGAACATTCCACCCACGTCTCAGCCACCTGTGGCCACTTGGCGTTTGCCCCCCATGCCCGGCCCAGCGCTCCTGTCGCTTCTCTTCCAACAGCTTGTCTATTCCAGGCATTTCCCATCAACGGAGCCATAGAACACGGGATCTTGTGTGTCCAGCTTCTTCCACGTAGCAGGTTTCTGGGGTTCACCCATGTTGTCCCCTGTGTCTGTTCACTCTTTCCTATCCCTAACTTTCAAAATATGGAAAAGGCAAGTGAACAGAGCAATGAGCCCCCACATGTCGGCCACCACCCACTTTTCTAATCAGGACAAGACATCTGTGTTGGTCTATGGACCCCCACTTCCTGCTCCCCACTTGCTCTTTCTCAAGTCACTCCTAGACCTCGTGCTGTTTCATTCATAAGGACATCAACATGCCTTTCTAAAAAGTAAGGGCTCCTCTTTTAAAAGTTTAACTCTAACCACTATGCCAATATCTTGCCTAAGAGCCTAAGAATATTAAATCTAACTTCTTGATCGCATCAACGTTCATGTCAGTGTGTAAATAACCCCTTAGGGACTCATCAATGTTCCTTCAGGGTTGTTTCAATCAGCTCCCCAGGAGTGAGGGGCGGGATTATTAACCCTGCTCTCCTACCTCCCACCGAAGCTGACACCAACTCTCAGCACAGGGTCGTGTTTGCTGCCCTCCGTTTGCTAAGCTTTGTTCTGCTCTAGCTCCCAACGACTGGCTTGTCCGGGCAGCGGGTGTTGATAGGAGTGACGTGTTAGGTGCTCTGCTCGCTAAGGAAGTCAGCCACAGGCTGTGTCTCGTCCCCCAGCCCTGTCATCCCAGTCCTGAGAGCCTGCCTGGAGGGGCGGGTGGCAAGGGCAGGGGCGGGGCAGGCAGCCGGGTCCTCACCTGAGGTCGTCGAGTTCCAGTTGCTGACCGCCGGGGTGGTCTCGTTGCCCTTGAGGGCCTTGGCGAGCGGCAAGCTAACACCCGCCAGCAGGAGCGGACAGAAGGGCTCCATGGCGAACCTGCAAGACGCAGGGACAGGCTCAGAGGGCTCCCTGCCATGCGCCTCGGGCGGCCGGGCCCTCCACTGAGAAGGGCCGCTCCCGGAGGACAGGGCGGACTGGGGACCGGATGGCGGTGGGCATGCTTTGGAGCGCTGCTTCGTCGGTCTGCGTCAGGGAGGCAGCTCTGCGGACCACCGCCGGCACATTTTATTCCTGCACTTGGGAAGTAAGCTCACCCTGCAAGCTCCAAGAGCTATTCCCAGGTTATAAAAGCTCTTGCTGTTCAGGTTAATTTCCTGTCTTTTTTTTTTAGATTTTATTTATCCACTTATTTATATCCAGAGAGAGAGACAGAGCACAAGCAGGGGGAGCAGCAGAGGGAGAGAGAGAAGCAGGCTCCCCGCTGAGCAGGGAGCCCGACGCGGGGCTCGAACCCAGGACCCTGGGATCATGACCTGAGCCGAAGGCAGACACTCCACTGACTGAGCCACGTGGACATCCCTAGTTTCCTTTCTTGTTTGTTTGTCTGGTTTTGTAGGGAGAGAGGAGGTGAACAAGGATGTTGGGGTGTCCGGGGAGGGTGAAGTCTGAAAATACCAGGAGATCGAAGATTCTGAGAGGCAGCTTCCTGGAGCCTCAGGAGGCCCTTTACCCACAGCTTCCAGATCGCCACACGGTAATGACTGGTTCAACATTTTGGGTACATTCTACGGTGTCTGCTGTGACATGGGTGTAGCATTTCTATTTTGCATCATGACAGCTGAAGGAAGAGCACCCCCCTTGGAAAGAATTGCAGGCTAAGGAGTTAGGTTAACTGGCAGGTGGTCACAGGGCCGGGGGGGAGGCTGGGAAGTGGGGGGTCCAGCCCAACTGCACAGGGTCCACCTCTGCTGTCCCCCTGGCCAAAACCATAACCCATACCACCAGCCCTGATTCTGAGTGCAGGCCTTTTCCACACTCTGGAGCCCGAGGGACCTTTCAAACGCCAGCCCGTCCCCCCAGTCGTGAGATGTTAACAACGAGAATGGGATGGGCAGGCCAGCCCGGTCCGTGTTCCTCTGAGCCACGGACTTCGCCTGTTGCTCTCCTGAACTTCATGCATGGCTGCAGGGAGATGGCCTTGCCTCCTGTCTGAGCCCCCAGGTGAGGCAGAGGGAAGCTCCCTCTTCCCCCAGGAGGGGCCACCATCAGCTCCTTTCTGACGGAGTCACGTGGGCCCCCTGGGGACGGAGGTAAGTCTTTATTGGGTGGGTGGGTGAATGCAATGCGGTTCAACACAGGAAAAGGCTCTTTCACCCAGACCTGTAAGGCCTACCTCAGATCCCCACTTGGTGCACCATTTTGCCAAAATAACCTTAGATCCTTGGAAAACGTGGCATTGAACTCTTGGTGGTGTAGAGGAGGACTGGCCGCTGGAGAAAGTGGGTGGTTCTAGGAGCCGAGTGAGATCGGGCGGTGAGGATGCTTGTGGTTGAGGTGTGGGCTCCCTCCCTCCTGCACTCCCCGCTCCGTGGTCAGCCTGGGTGCCTGTCCGCTCACAAAGCACTTTCCTGCAAAAAGCCTCGCTGAGCCATATGAATGGACCGAGGCCCAGAAACACTGGTCCCTTGTAATTAGAGAAGACATCTGAATGAGCGCAAAAAATCCTCATCGTGTTTCAGCAATCACCACTGCTGAAATGGAACCATTCCGAGCCTGCAATTATCCCGGGACAATGATGACAGCCACAATCAATACTTTCACCCCTTTCCTCTTGTTTCTTTCCCAGATACATTTTAGACTTTTAAAGTGAGCACCCCCCCCACACACACACACTAGCTTGTGTCCCGGGAGCACCTACCATCGCTAGGCCCTTCGGATGGGCACCGTCCTCACAATAACCCTCCAGGACTGAGAAACTGAGGCCCCATGAGGATAAGGAACTGACCCAACATCGGGTCAGACGAGATGGAGGAGTCACAGTTCGAACCCAGGACTGCCAGAGACAAAAGCCCTCAAGCCTGATGGGCAGCTCTGCATAGGCTGCATTAAACAGAATCTGTTCTTGAACAAAGCTTTTACATAATTGAATAAGCTTCAGAGTAATTGATTAGAAAGTATCCACTAGTTTAATACAACTCAGAGATGCAGACTTCCTAGTTGAAGCATTTTTTCTTGTTACATGCATTCATTCAAAGCCTTCCTCACCAAATGTTCAATCATCTAAGAGAAAGCGGACACTTCTGAGCCAGTCAAAGGCCATCTCATCACACATCAGACACCATGGGGTGGATGGGCAGCGTCCCCTGGAGAGGCAGGTGAGTTGCCCGCTATGACCAGAAGAGGGCACTAAACTTTGCAGAATTCAAACCCCGTGAGTCCCTTGATTGTAGCATTTGTATTTCCAGGCCCATGACAACTTTCCTGTCCCTGGCTATTCACCCTCAAAGGATTTGTGCAAGCTACCAATAAGCACAGACACGAATCTGCACAAAAATAATGCCTGAAACAGTAGTTAAATCCATAGTGAATGTTAAGGATTTGTACTGAATCTACCAAATGTTAAGTACTGTGGGCATAAAACATGTTGGATCTCAGAACCGAGATTATTAAAATAGTTTCCAACAAAGCAGCCTTTATTTTTACTCCTATCGAAAGTCAGCCAGCTATCAGTTTGATTAGAATTGCCTTTTTGCTCCATCTGATGCCTTTTTAATACTCTTTGTTGGGCAAGCTAGGTCCTGGAGCTGGTCCAGTCCTGCCCTTATGCAGCTTCATGGAGCTAGAAGGACGCGCGGATAAACAGCGCCCCCCCCCCCCACTGCGACCCCACTGTTCTGGAGATGTGTGGCCAGACTGCCAAGCAAGGAAGGTGACGAAGCGATGATTCGCTCCACCCAGGACCGCGTCCAGAAGGCCCCTGAATGTCCTGTTCAAGAGTTGAGTTTGGTGTTACAGCCTCCTTTTCCATCAACAACCTATCTTATTAGAACCACTTGAGGGCATGATAAAAAGATGCCAATTCCTGGGCCCAACTCCAGATGCATGACATCCAAATATATGGGGAGTGACGGGCTTTGTACAGACCGCAGCTGACGACCTTGGCTGTGAGCAACGAGCTGCCACTGGAGTTTCCAGAGGGAGTGCTAGAAGCCGGTCGGGAGCCATAAGAGATGGCGTCAGTCTGTGCCGCCCCGCAGTGGTGGGGCGCACGGGCATCCATCCCCTGGGAGCTTGCTAGGGACGCTGCGTCTCAGGTAGCATCGGACCTCCCACATTTTCACAAGAATGCTACGTGCTTCCCATGCACATAGAATTTGACACACGCCGGCCTCCGCAGCAGAGGATGTCTAGACTAAGCCAGGACAACGGGAACGGCAAGGAGGGAGGGATTCGAAAGGGGTTTCAAAGGCAGAATCCGTGTGAATGGTATTCAGCTGGATGTGGTGAGGAGTAGGCCATCAAAGGTACTGGGATTTCCATCTTGGGAGATGGAGTGGGACGGGGCATCACTCATTAGCTGACCCCGGGAGAATGGGGTCCCCAGTCTGGGGATAAAGATGTTTGGGGCTTGGCATAAAACAATAATATACGCTCGCATTTACTGAGCTCTTATGAAGTGTCATAAACCATCTGAGGCGCTGAGCTAAGCTACCTCCCCATCCCTCGTGGCAATCCTATGAGAAATGCCCTGCTGTCCTCGGAGATGGCCTGTTGCCTCTCAGGGTTCTGGAGCATTCTAGTGGAGCGTGCCAACAGGAATTGTGTTCAGGGCCTAGGGATTGGCTGGACAGGAGTGGGTGCTGAAGGTTCAGCGTGTGGGTGAGTTCACTCTGGGGGTGTGCGGAGGGGCAGAGGTGAGGTGGTGGTACCAAGCGGAAGGAGGCCGATCCTGAGCCAGTGCCTTTGAGGAGGGGCCGCCCGGCTGACCCCTCCTGTCCCAAGGGATGGAAAGGTGCGCTGGGTGTCCCTGAGCAGATTGCACCAGACTGCCCCCTGCAGGTCAAATCCATCATGTGTGGTTGAAAGGCCTGGTTCTTCTGCTCTCAATTACAAAACAGACTCCGCTCCTCCACAAAGGAGCAGAGATAGAGATTCGCTCCAGCTTTGAAGAGAGCCGCCGGGATGAGCCATGTGTAATTTCTTATCCAAAACAGGACTCTGGAGTGCAAACGAGAGGCTGAAACAGTTCAAGTCATATGCTTTCCTACAGTACTTCATTATTGGTCAGCATTTGGTTTTACTAAAATGGGAACCCACGAAGTAGTTTTATTTGAAAACTATTTTTAAAAATTAAAAAAAAAAACCTCCCTAGAAAACAAAACTACCAGTGCACATTACAGCAATGTTTTTTAGTAAAAAACCCTTTTTAAATTGGTTATATGAAAATAAAATGAGAACATGAACAGAATACCTATTCCCAGTCCATATTCACCTGCTTCGATTAATATCTTAGCCTTGTCTATTCTTAATACGTTTCACTTTTAGTATATTTTTCAATATCCTTAATATTTAAAAATTTTCACAAAATCGTCTTCAGAGTTTTCCAAATGAGCATCTTGTGAGCTCTCATCATTTCATTTGCTTTATTCCTTCCTTGCTTTCATAGGAAAAGATTCTAATGTCTTCCTGTTCACAACCTATGTTTTCAATAGTCATAGCTCAATAATAGTTTAAAACACAGAGAGTCTTTTCTTCCTTTTTTTCGTGTATGTGGCTGTAGTTTTTGCTGCTTTGTTAGTTGAATACTTTTACGAAATATTTCCAACTAATTTAGAACAAAATGCAACCAACACTTAGGGCCTTGTTTACAGAAAAGTCCACCATCTTTGTAGGACACTTAGGTTGATTTACAGAGCAAGTTTTCTGAAGGCCCAAACGTTTCTGAAATCTGACGAGCAGGGAAGAGAACATGCATGCTCCCCAGCTGAAGTATTTTTAAAAACTCAACATCAGCTTCATTACATAAATTTGTAGTTCAGTTACTCACTATGTGAAACTGTTGGTAAAATCTGACATCCATAGCTTCTATTTTAACT